CTTTCCATTTGTTTTACTCACTCATCCACTCAATAACCAGCTATTTCCCTCCCTCTTACAATTCATTCACCCAAGAGATCGTATTTCTCTATTTCTGAACAGATCTGAAGCATCCATCTCAGCAATAGCTCAAGTCTTTTGTATTGGTTCGTCATTCAGACTTGGTAACAGGTCAGTCAGAGGTTGAGGTCCCATCTTTTTAGCGATAGTATTTGCAAGGGTGTTTGCTTTAGTTTGTCTGATTTGTCGTTCTCTTCTCCCTCTTCTGTACAGATGCTTCATACAAGATATTAAATGTGGCAATAGGCCTGAATAGTATTTTTACATGGCTATTTTTTTTCCTACTCTAAAAGCCCTGTGGTACATTCTGTCTTCTTTTTCATTGTTAATGTGAAAAGACATGTTGATTTCATACAAAATGGGATAAACTTAAAACTGGAAGGATGCTGGGAATGCGTAGGCAGTGTCACCTGAACTAACCTCTCCTTACATTCAGCTTGAAACTGCCTGCTTTTACGTTTTCTCTGAAGACCTGCTCTTTTGTAAAAATGTAAATTGAACTCTGGAATGATTTTTTTATTTTTTATTGGGAATGTTTGCCTTTATGAGCAGCCACTGTGATGAAGGTCACTGTAATGTTTAACCACTGGCTCCTGACAACGTTTACCCCCGCTTATTTTCCCACAAACTGCAATGCTACAGAGAACACTTTGATCACAAAGGCAGCAAATCCAGCAGCATTTAAGTTTCTCTCCGATGGAGTTTAATCGAAACACTTTAAGAGCACCTCCAGGTCATCTCAGCTCTCACTTGGTCTCTGGAATGCTTCGGATAAACTTAGAAATGGGCTAATATGTCTTTGTTGTTAGTTGTGGGAAACAGAAGAATGGGCAGAGTGTTGGTTGGTTAGAGCCCACATACAATTCATTTTTCCCTTTTTTTCTTCCCCCCTCCACTTTTGTTTTTTGTCTAAAAGCTCAAGTTATAGAAAGATGGTTTGAAACTAGTAAGGCCCATACAGTGGCATTGATTTATTGATGCTGGAGCACAGTGTGACTCTTCCTCTCCCTCTGTGTTCATCCCTGTGTCATAACTGGTATGTGTGCATACGCATGTCTGTCCCAGCATGCCGAGTCCACTCCCTTGGGTCCCTGACCATGTGCGCGGGGTGGCTCCTCCTCCCCAGCTGTGAGGAGCAGGGCTCTGACATGGCCTGTCCCTTTAGCTCACTTTGAACGTTTGACATGCCGAGCGCAGAGGTCAGCCTGACCTACTTTCCCCTGGCGGTCCTTTCTGCTGAGCTGCAGCGCTCCTCAGCAGGGGGGACAGCGAGGGCGGCGCTGCTTACGCCTCCACTGCTGTCCTGGTGTGTTAAATCACCGCCATTTGTTAGGAGACACGTTCCTGTGTGTGTGTTGGGTTTTGGTTTTTTTTCTTTCTTTCTTTCTTAGGTGTGTAGGAGGCATCCCACATGCATGGACACACACACAGACACAGGTTTGTACTGAGGTTGGATATGAAGTGCTCTGTGGGGGCTGCAGGTAGATGCTGGGCAGCACTTGGGCAGGACCCCTGCAGTGAGCTCTGTCTGACTCACTTTGTGTACAACTGTTAACACCCTCTGACCTCTTCCACCTACTTTATTTCCCTCTGCTGTTGAGCCACTTATGTCTTTATACCAACTTATAGCCCACTGTCTAAAAGTAAAGACCTGAATGGTAGATCTCAGTATCCGCAGCTCAAACAGTGACATACTGTTTATATAGTTAGTGGTAATTGGCAGTAATTTTTCATCAGCCTGTTGTTGTCTTCCTCCCCACTCTCTCTTCCCATTAGCAAAGAAGCTATGATCTATCAAATACAGTGACTTTTGTCTTTTCTGTGTTTTTTGTTTAGCTTTTTCTTCTTGTGCTGTTGTAATATTATAACATCCCCCCTTTTGTTCCGATACCCCCTCACCTGCGTATGACCCGCAGCCTGGTGGTTTCTGCTTTAGACAAATGTGTCTAAAGCAGTTCATTAAAAATTAAACTTCTGATGTAACAGCAGGCTTTGAACACTTGACTGTATCAATGATTTAGGCCCAGTAGAAGGTCCTTAATGGATAAAGCCAACTTTCTGTGCGAGTCAGACTGCTTCTGGCTCCTTGGCATCAAAGTGACACACGCAAACACAGAAGCTGTGAAGGAAAAATGGTTTTAGGTACTTAAGAGTGTATGGCGTTGTAGAGCTTGCATCACACACGTCCCGGCTCACACTCTCCCCTGTTGGACATGTCTCTGGGTTTTAAAGTGGCATGGGCTGGCTAAGTGGGGAACTTCTTATGTGTTTGTCCCTATCCACTATGCATGCGCATTGTTTTATTCATCCTGACCAAAGTCAAAATATGAAAAGGCAAGCGACAAATTGCAACCAAAAGGGCAAGGCCTTTTATAACGGTGCTGTTGCTTAGAGGCTGTGCAGACAAGCTGGGCTGCGATGAGCACCTGAGAGGAAAAACAGTCATTCAGTAAAACCTCTGCTGGCCGTCAGGCTGCTCTCACTACTGCTCAGCGTACGTGGCAAGTTGTTCAAGTCTATGTGACTTTTTAGATCCGAATCTTAAGATTAGTTTTTCAAGCATCATATCAGTGCACGTTTGTGTAGCATGCAACTGGATTTCACTCAGACCACATAATGGGTCTGATCACAGTGAAACCCTGAATGCTTCTGCAAGTAGTTTTGAAAACCTGATAATGGCGTGACCACAAGATGCTGCGGTTTGAGAGGTTTTCATTAATTTATTCTGGTGTGTGAGAGCAGAACAGAATGATTGTCTTTTGTTTCCTGTAGTAAAAATGTTGTAAATTTAAGTTTTTGGCATGGAGTGATTTTAATAAACCATAAATTTGTCAAATATTCTGATTCCATTGTATACAGTTCATGATTTCTGTTTTATGTTTCTGCAGTGAGTGTTTTTGGGTTCTGAGGTTCATGATTTAGATGGTTATTTTTTGTGTGCCTGTTTTGGGAGGGAGAACACAGTTTTTACACTTGATAGTCTCTTGTTTCGAATTTGTCAGTCAACAGTGTTGCGTGCAAGTGTGGGACAGCCTTCCTGTGAATGATGTGTGTCTCTTATTACCATTGTGTTCTGTACTGTTGCTTTTTGTCTTGAGAGTTTCAGTTTTCCTTCAGGTATTTGGGTGATACTCCACCCTCACTCATATTTCACACACTGTCCTATAGGATTGCTCTTCTCTTCGCAAAGATGAACACCATCTTGAATTTGTCTCAGCTGTATTGAACCAAAAGACAATATGTGTCAGAATAGCTTCAGTGCAATCGTATTTTCTCCTGACCATCCTCATGCTCCGTTTGTTACAGTCAAATACTGTCAGTGAGACTTTTTCTTCCCCATTTTTAGAAAAAGCAGTATGGGTACACGAAGCAGTCTTTTGGGCATATTTTAGTGAATCCAGGACTGCTTGGAATACGCTGTATGACCAGAGGTGGAGCAGAGAAGAGGATCATAATACTGTTGTGTTAAGAGAGTACCCTGCACATTTGTCCAATGAGATTTATTGTAAATACAGAAGATTTGTATGTCCTCATAAATTTGAAGTGCAGTGTGTAGTGCTACAGCACAAGCACTTTAAAAAAAAAAAAAAGAAAAGAAAGAAGTCATAACTTTAAGTGTCAAGATGTAATCTGGAAAGTTCTCATTTAGCCTGTGGCACAGTAAGGGCTTTGACTCTGCTGTCCCGACTTAAGTGGGAAATTTATTCCTCCAGTGTAGGGTCAGAAAAGTGTTGAGCCTTGACTATGACTAGGGGATGTTTAACCACAGGGTCCTTGGCATATTGGACCAGCCAGTGGTGCAAAGGGAGCAGAGCTCAGCTCAGAGTTTACAGTGTGACCATGGCTCAGAGTCGTAAAGGAGCTTTTCTTGGCCTAAGGGCCACGTCCGGACATCGCCTGTGGATGACACAAGGGCAGAATTATTTTCACTCCACTGACAGTTTCCCATGTATATTTTATTTTGGAGGAAACAAAAAAAAAAAAGCATTAATCTTCTCCTGAATTGTACGGGCATTTCAGGATTATTTAACGAGCAGGATTGGCAGCATTACGACCAGCCTGCCATTATCATCCCTCCTGTGGTATAATTGCCTTTGGTGTTGAACAAGCAGCTCCTATCTTTTGCATTTAGGGGTCTTTCACTCTCTCTCTGCCTGTGCCCCCTCTCAGCTTATCTCCTGCATCCACTAAACTCATCAGAGAATCCTACAGCTTTTTAGTGTGACCATCTGTCAATACCACTCCATAAAGTGGAGTGGAGCAACGTGTGCATCCATTGGCTCTTATAAGCCCTCAGCTGGTTTGGCTCCAGCTGGATGTGAGGGCCTTACTGCTGGTGGTTAACCCAGGCCTGGAGCATCGCTCTCTAGCCCTTGTGGCTACTTCAGCCCACCTCGCCTCCCCTATCAGGCAGCTGGATGAACCTCCCTCTTCACCACTGTGGAGTAGCTTGTAACACTGTAATGAGTTAACTTTCAGAATGATCTACATAATTTATTTCCTGCCCCCACAGGAGCCCGCTGAAGCATTAATTAATATCAGGCACCGCTATCAGCAACCATCCCAGTGTGGGATTCCTTCTGGCTCCTATTTTTGGCGCCGGTGGAATTTGATATGTTGTGCAACCATAATGCAGTTTGTTGGACAGTGATGAAAGATAGTATGTCCTGGTGGTATTGTACATAAATTTGATCTCCTGCACATGAATCCAGACATGGTTGTGAGCCAGATCTGATGGCTTTGAAACAGCAGCAGGAGCGGTGACTAAACCTAAATGGTTCATAACAAGTTGCTTTTTGCCGCTACAAGTGATATTGCTCACATTTAGATATTTCAGACTTGTTAATGTGATCTGATTTCTATTTGTATTTTTTATTTCTTTATTTTTGATATGTTAACTCACCTCACATTTTTTTCTCTCTCTCTGCTTCCCCCCACAGAACTCAATACGGCACAATCTGTCATTGAACAAGTGTTTTCTCAAAGTGCCTCGCTCCAAAGATGACCCAGGAAAGGTGAGACTTAAAAACATCAACTGGTAATTGCAGACACCTATGGTTGCATGTAATTGCAAGCCAAATAAATGCAATATTTAAAATTTTAAGCAAGTACCCTAAATTCGCAGAACTCACTATTACAGCATTTTTCTGTTGTGTATCGTGCTATCTCTGGCAGAAAAATATTACCTTTGAATTCCTGCCAGGACTCTTGACAGTCTGGAAATGCATGGAATGCTCGTAATCTATTATGAACCTCCCACCCCCACATAACTGCATTTCAAATATAAGGGGAGGCTAGTTTTTTCTTTTCTTTTTTTTCCCTACTTCTTCTTTTTTATGTGCTGGCACAGACAACAGATGTGGGTGAGGAGAAGAAGCCAGACTGGTAGAGATGGGGCCATAACAGGGTACAAGTTAGGTCATTCCCAGAATCTGCCATCCATCAAGTATTTACTCCAAGTGAAGCTGAACCTACTGAGAGAAAAAACAAGAACTAAATCAGGCCTCTGCCTTTCACTTTTGTTTTCTGCAAGATTTATTCCAGGTTAATCTGACATTTTATTCATAAAAGGACCACCCGCACTTTCAACTTCCTTCTCTTCACAATCTATCTCTCGCAACATCAACCTGATATGAAGCAATTGCTGATAAACTTTGTTGTTCATGAATAGCGAGCCTTTAGGCCAAAATGTATGTGATGGTGAGCATAGGTGTAGCCATATGTGGTATAACCTAGATCATCCTGGAAATGTCAGAGCGTGCGGTACATATGCTTAAAGAACCACACAAATAATTACACACACACACACACACACACACACACGCACATGAAGAGCTACGCCTAGCTGTGTAGAGGATGGGGACTGAATGCTAATTTCATGTTTTGCTGTAATCCTCTGATATTGACACTCCTGGGAGCTGCTCCACTAAATACAAAATAATCTATTGCTGTATGGATCCCATTCCAAATGCATGGCCAACATGCTCGCATCCTTAATGTTTAATTTGGAATTTTCCTCACTCCCTTCCCCCCGAAGACAACTTCAAAGGGGCGCTAGCCGCTCTTGATATGTTGCATCAATATTGTAATGTGGCAGGAATATGAGAACTGCTGGTTGGATGAGATAGGAGAGTCATGTCGCTCTGTGTCTGTCTCTGAGATGGTGTAAGAGATGACAGTTGTTGTTGTTGTACATGTGCACACACATGCGCACGCACATACACACACACTGTGTCTACCTCAGAGGTAGAAATGTAGCCTGTGAAGGCTGCTGTTAGTAGTCTTCCTTTTAATTGGTCTTATGTCTCGGCCTGGAGTTGCAAGGATCGCCGCTGTACTTTCTTTGTTTGTCTTTCCTGTATGAAAGGGGAAGCAGGTGACATAATTTATGGTGATGTATGAAAATAAGCTGCGTCATTGAGGGGAAGAGAACAGGTAGTGTACCTGTGTTATCAGGATCTTGAAAAAAATCTTTACAGCTGCCTTTGTTTTATTGCTGCAGAAATAGTGTGGCTTTCCTCTGTTGTTGCCCCAGACTCCAAGGATACACTTCACTTGGCATTGCTACATTTTTCCTTTTTCTTTCTTTCTTTCTTTCTTTCTTTCTTTCTTTCTTTCTTTCTTTCTTTCTTTCTTTCTTTCTTTCTTTCTTTCTTTCTTTTTTTTTTGTGCTGTATATTTGTGAATAATTTAATGACTCTTTATATGCTTTTTTCTTTTTTGCTGCCAAGTCTCTGGGGGTGGGTGTTGGAAAATGCAAAAACTCCCCTCCCATGAGGGTTAACTTAAAGTGTTGTTCCCCCCCTAATTAAGAGAAACACCACAGAGCTTGGCTTTCTTTGTGTGACACTTAATTTTGAAACATCTGTACCTGCCCATTTCAGCTCTCAGAAAGAGAGCAGTTACGTTTAGAGACTCTCTCATCTTTGCATATAACAAGGGTTTTGTTTTTTTGTTTTTTTGTTTTTAAAGCAGCCTGTATCTTGTGCTGATTGTGCTGTGAATCCCCCCCAGGAAAATACTAATTGACCCCAAAGCCTCACACTCATATGAAGAGTTATAATTTTAACCCCTGATGAATATAGACCAAGCCTGGATTTTTATTTTAACAGTCGCAGCAGCGATTTATGCAAAAATGGCAGATTTGCTAAATTTAACAAGAGCAGGCTATTGTGTATGCTGCATTATTGTATAGATACTTGAAATACAGTTGTTCCATGGCCTCTCCTGTTGTTTAGAGAATTTCTTATAGAAATATCAATTATTCTCTCTGCTAAGGAAGTAATTTTAAAGGTCCTGATCTCACTTTCTCTTGACAATTGAGATTTTATCGGGGGTCATATGAAATATTAAAAACAAATTCAGAACTCGCGGGGCCTTAGGGTAAAAATCTCATTTTTAACAACTGCAAGCAGCGTTGCTGTTGGCTTCGAGGAGGCACACCATTGAAAAATAAATTAAATGGGGCGAATGCAAAGATAAATAATGCAGCCTGGTTGTGGAATTACGAGCTGCAGCCCCAGAGCCAGCCCCAACTGTTCTCTCCTCGATTAGCCTTTTGTAGACCTTAGAAGAAAGCAACACGGCAGGGCTAGCGCTGCCTCCATTCCCGGGCTGAGGCAGGATCCTTCATCCTTGGCAGCAGCGCTCTGACTTCACTACCTGAGGCTGAGGAAGTACAGCTTCAGGAAAGGCTTAGCATTTCACCACCACCAGCTGCCCTCACCAGCCTCTCATTGAGGAGCAGCCTCAGAGGAGGAAAAGCCAAGGCTTTCTTGCTAACAAAGCCCACCCACACACCACTCAAACTCTTAACACATAGCTATCAACTCAAATAAAGGCTCGGGCTGATAGGACAGATTTTAACAGAGCGTATGAGGCCCAAGAGTTCTGAATATGCAGGTATATTTCAGTGCCAAAAATGTTTGTGATATCAGAGTGGAAATGTCTTAATCCTGATTTGTTTTTTCTTTCGTTTGTTTGTTTTCCTTTTTTCCCGTTTTTAATTTGACTTTTTTCCTGACTTTAATGGATATTTGACATTTAAGAGGCGGGTTGTAAAGATGGGAATGACATGAAATTCTAGGGTGATGTGTGACAAGAGTCCCAAGCCATACTCAAACCATCAAAGTTGCGTGCTCTGTAACCATTCAGCAATGAATGCAGGGGAATTTCTGGGGTATCATGTGAGAAAGCAGTCTGTTTTATCATCTCACAGGCTTTTCTTCTGTCTGCAGGGCTCTTACTGGGCCATCGACACCAACCCAAAAGAGGATGCTTTGCCTACACGGCCAAAGAAGAGGCCGCGGTCTGGAGAGCGGGTGAGTCTGATAGGAGAAACTTAACATTCTCTGCAAGAATATGCATTTATTTAGATAGATAGATAGACACACACACACTTCTCCTCCTTCATTCTTGTTAAAGCGTTAATATCTGTGTGGTTCAGTATATTTTTTTGTGTCTTTACCTTGCATCTGCCTCAGTGTTGTTTTCCTTTTGCCCTTCTTTCTCTCCCACTTTCCCTTCACTCTTTCTCTAGCACTTGCAGACGTGCACACACACACACACACACACACACACACACACACACACACACACACACACACACACACTCTCAGACTCAGTAGGAGTTCATATCCAGACTTTATGTAACTACCTCTTCATGCTGCTTCGCTAGCCTGTCATGAAGTGGGCTCCTTATTAATAAACTATGCCTCAGGCAACCATTACATACATTACATTTTGCACTCACTTTTTTTAACAAACATCAATTAATGCAGAACTGTGTGCAGCGGCTATTCTGAGCGGGAGCTTTTGTCTTTAATTATGCATGAGCTTCATCCGCCCGTTAACGTACGGCTGTACAGGTTTTTACTGAGCTGCTCAGATTGACCTGGCCCTTGGGCATCCCAACACAGGGGGCTCTCGTCTCTTCCTTCTCCACAATGTGACTGACCAGAGGCTACGATGAAGAGAAATTCCCCAAGCTGGCGAGGGAGACTCATATGCACACGCACCACACACACACACACACACACACACACACACACACACACACACACACACACACACTGTGTATCTACCAGACACAAACACATAGACTCCATTAATCTTAAAATGCTGTTTATGTAGTTGCCTCACGGCATCCAAATACTATCAGATTCATTCAACAAACTGTGGTATTGCAGGTGTGTGATCTTAGATACACAAAGCGTGCCTTGTTTTTAGTGTTTTTAGTACCTTTGTTTTTTGAGTGTGACACAAAAGCACGCACAAAGCGAAGAGGACTCTGTTTTCTGTATGACACGTTTACTGCCCCCCTCCTCCCCCACCCCCCCAGACCCTGCCTGTCTACAAAGGCTTCCTAGAAGGGTCTCACACAGTGAAATTGAGAGTTTGTGAAATCTCATTTATGTTTAGCATGAATTTGTAGCCATTCCTCTTACAGTAAGCAGTTTTGGGAGACAGCCACAGTAGAGTTATCTCTCACAACAGTGTACCTATACTGCAAGACAAGGGGTTGCACGTGTGCATCAATATGGTATGTGTTTGGGTGGGAGGTGACGGCGGGGTTTGGGGTTTCAGACCTATTTTCTTTTTAGTTTTTTTTTTTAAAGTCCTAAATCAAGTTGTGTCTCTGATGTATCATAGAAGCAGCTCTGTTTGTTTTTTTGTTTTCAGATCTTGCAGATGGATATGAATGTGATAGCAGAATGAAATTTGTTACCAGCTTTAATACAGGTTGCTCCTGCAGTAGTGGGATCTCGTGTGTTTAATAATTGGATTACGTTGACTTCTTTTTTTGTTCTGCCTCCACTCCCTGCCCCCAACCCCCACAGGCTTCCACGCCGTACAGCCTAGAGTCAGAGTCTTTGGGGATGGAGTGTATGATCTCTGGAAGTGCCTCTCCAACGCTGGCAATCAACACTGTGACTAACAAGGTACTACAGCCAGCAATCCAGCCTCCAGCTCCAACACACACCTGGCTACACGGCTGCACCCTGACCCCACCCACTTCTCCAACCACCTACAGCACTATTCCCCACAGAGACAGGAGCACTTTTGTGAAGGGGAGATGCAGGCGCGCACACACACACTTTCACACGAGCATATGCTCATGTGCCTAAAGCTTCTCTTCATCACAACCCACACCAAAATACACAACTATGTGCCCTGCTGTACCTTTTTCCTCTACAACAACAGGCAGCAGGCTCTTGTTATCTTTAGTGCGGAAATATGATGCTCACACTGGTGCTTGCCTTTGCAACCTGATAGACTGCACACAGTCTTGTGCACATTTGGAAACAGAATACTCCACATGCTATTTGGGGTTTCTGTATTCACACCTGTAGTGCAGGTTGACGCCCGAAAAGTTGTTTTCTCACCGAGTGACCACTCTACAGGTGACCACCCCGGCTGCTGGCTCTGTCTGCTCTCCGTGGCTTTTCTTTTTCTTTTCTTTTCTTTTTTTTTTTTTTTTTTTAAAAATCCGTGAAAACATGGAAACACTTGTACATCATAGCGCAAAGCTACAGGGACTGCTAGCTGTTAGCTCTGAGTGTGCTGCTCACTCTGAAATTTAAATAGGCTTTTTAACCTTAAGCTCTCATCCTCTGAGCCCAGTGGGGGCAGCTCTCAGGAGTACTTTTAAAAAGCCTACAAGAGTCGCTTATTCATTTCCTGCAAGCATTACAAAAAAGTATGGTTTAACGTGAACAGGGGTGTTCACAGAAAAGATGAGTTAGTGCTTGCATGACAGAGGCTCTTGCGTTTCAAGTTAAAGGCAAGAGTCTGAGCATATTTCTGCATGTGTTGTAATTTTTATGCATGCACATTTATGTTACAAAGCGTTTCTGCTTGTTTTGAGGAGCATGTCGGTGACAACTACCTAGGGGCTGTTTCTGTAGCAGACAGATTCATTGGCCAAAGTGTGGAGACAGATGACCCTTTTCCTGTTTGAGTACTACAGACAAGCACTTTCCACCGATCTCCACCACCAGCTGCTGCATAATAAGGCCCTAATGTTAAGAGCTGACAGTTAAGTCTGGATCCCTGCCATTGAATACCTCCAGCTAAATAACTTACACCCAAAAAACCCCATCAGCTGAGCAATTTCAAGCCAGTTTTGTCTTCTTTTGTTCATTTGATTGTGACAAAAAGTGTTATGGCAGTAAAGCGAGCAGAAGACAAAGTGGAATAGCAACAGATCTGAGGTCTGATGTCCTCAGAGAGAGCTTGTTTCTCACTGTCTTACACTGTAAACACACAACAGGCCACGCCTCTTTCGGTGCTGCATGCCAAGCCACAGGAATTCCCTCTCTGTTTTTTTTTCCTCCTCTCTCTCTCTTTCTATTCTAGTCTCTCTCCCTCATATTCCCGCCTTCTCGCATAGACCAATGGGAGAAGCTGGCAGGACGACTACTGAACCAGCAAGAATCTTCTGTCTAGCATTCCTCACACGATTGTACTCCCTCTCCTCTCACTTTGGTGTCTTTCTCACGCAGACTCAGACTTTTCTTTGCCCCCCACCAAAGATTGTGTTCTGAGATTATCCTAAACACTGGCATTAAAGTGACAAAACTTTGGCACTAATGTGTGGATGATCGAGAGGGGGCAAGGACAGATTGTTGGAAATATGCTTGCTAATGAATAGTTGTTCTTCTCCTCTCATCTCCTTCATGCATCTCATACCCTTTTTGTGTCTCTTCCGCTGTCACCTTGTGTCTGTGCGATCATGCATGCGGGGATTGTGCCGAACATTGGCTGGCATTGTTTGGAGACACCTGGGCTTTGATTTCATAATCCATGTCTCATGCACCAGATTAGGCCCCCATGTAAAAGACACCTCTGGCTTTTTACTTAATTCACTGCTAAGAATAGAACTCTGACTCGCTTGCCTGCTAGCCGTACACAGTTTTTACTGTGGAGCTGCTCCTGCCTGTATGAACACGCTTGCCTCGGCCTCTGTGTGTTTATGTGTGTTGTTCTACCTTTGTGCACGTCCGTTGCTGTAGCAATGTATGTCTATTATATGTTACATGCTTCTATGTATGTGGGTGAGACGCGACTGGGTGTTAGCCTGCGACGGTGCGTGTTTGAGTAGGCATCTTCACTCAGGACTTGGTGTTGGGTGGGGATGGGGGTTCTGGGTAAACCACAGAGCACTGAGGTTTTTGAAATCATCACACTTTATGGTTGAATGGTGTAAAAATAGATTGTGGTGAGAGACTTAAGGCTAAAAGCTTGTTTTATGACTTCATTACACATAACATTTATATATCTGTGGCACGCTGTTTTTGATTAGCATTGTAGGGCTGAGTTTGTAGACGTGCTTAAGCCTTCAGTCTTAGCTGCTCATTGAGTTCCCTTTTGCGCTAATGAACGCTGGAGCCAGGCCCACACTGAGTAGAAGAAGGCTAGAGTTGCCTAATGAGCTTCTTTTACCACCCCCCTGTTGTCCTCTTCCTCTGCATCACCCCTCTTCCTCAAACAGTGTTCTCTGGATTCAGCATTTGCGCTGTTCAGTTGTGTTGGTTTTTTTTAAATTGCACTATTTCTATCTCATTCTATCAGTGCAGAAGCCAAGCTCCATATTAAAGGCTTAATATGATCTGAAGCTCTTGCTCTGTGCTCTGGATTCGCACCAACATATTAGTCAGCCGGCCAATCAGTCAGAGAAGAGAAGACTGGTCAGGGCTGCCTGAATTTCCTCACCTCCTTGGGGCCGCTGTGGTGCCACGCTGTGGCTCAACAGAAAGACAAGAGGCTTCAGTCCATTGCTGCTGCTACTGAGAGGCAGGGTGCTGGACAAGCCGGGCCAATCTGCCTGCCTGAAGGCTACTACAACTGCTGTTTCATTGTGCTCAGCACAGAGCCCACTCTGTTGAGCAGCAGTGATGAGCAGAAGCCACCATGCTGCACTCACACATGGACAGGCACACACAAATCTGAGAATGCCATGCCTTCTTCCACTGCAACACCACCAGCGCGTTACTGCCATTCTTTTCTCACCAAACAAAACTCAGCACATGGGATGGTCTCTGTGGGTGTCATTATATTCATTATCTGGATTATTCTTCTTACTACTGTCTTAATTGTCTGACGGCACACTTTATTTGGGGAATGGCGGGAGGACTAAACCTTGTTAGACAATAATTAAGATTGTCGTCCTGAAGTGCCTCGGCTAGTTTCGCTCCTACATTGAAAGGTCAGTGTCTCGGCTGCACTGAAATCCTTTGTTAGCTGTCCCAAACGGATTTGCGCTTGGTGAGCAGATGTGGCTGACATCGCCAGTAGCATGACCTTTAGTGATGGGAATGTCTCAGCTGTCTCCAGACCCCTTAACACATTCAGATGGAACCCCTTAGTGACTGCGGAGGGTGTTGAGCAGCACTCTCGCTCTCTGTCTCTCTGTCTCTCTGTCTCTCTCTCTCTCTCTGTCTCTCTCTCTCTCTCTCTCTCTCTCTCTCTGCTCTCTCTCTCTCTCTCTCTCTCTCTCACGCGCGCACACACGTGCACGCAGTAAAGCGAAAAACTATTCTGCAATTATGACATGCTGTTGCATGCAGCACATTCTCACTTCTAATATCATTAAACTGCACACCAACATTACCTGTAACACCAATTTTCTTCCAGGAATGCTGATGTACGAGTGCATTTATTTGTGTGGTTGGTTTTGTTTTTTTTTTCCTTCTTTTTTTTTTTTAAGACATCAAGGCTAATGCACATGTGTATGCGTTTCAGGTGGCGTTGTACAACACAGACCAGGAAGGGAGTGATAGTCCAAGAAGCAGCCTTAACAACAGCCTGTCTGATCAGAGTCTGGCCTCCGTTAATCTCAACAGCGTGAGCAGTGTGCACAGCTATACACCGGTAAGAACTAGGATGAATGTTGTTGAGAGAATTGTAGTCATTTTTATGGATTCAGCACTCTAAACATGATCTTAAATGTTCTCTTGATTGCAAAGTTTAACTTTCACATTGACTAATTTAGAAAGGCACTAAAGATAGACAAGCTCTACCTCCCCTCCTAAAAACCCCCAACAAAAAACATGAAACATCAAAAGTTAATGAGACCTGGGTTGGTTGATTCAAACAGCCATAAAACAAGAGGAAACACCCTCACCTGCAACAGTGTATTTAAAAAAAAAAAAAAGAGCTTTGGAAAAATACAGCAGCAGTTTTATTCCCTGCACTGTACAGTCTCAGGAAATGCATTTTTCTTCTGATCACCAAACACCTGCAACAAAAGAATGGGTTGCTACCCGCTCCCTGAGCCAGTCAGGCTTGATACAGATTTGACGTGGGCCGCGTCTTATTGAGGTTGACCTAAGCGGTGCCATAAAGACCTCAGGTTTATTTGCAGCAATTAATCTGCATCGTTCATGGGAACAAAGAAAAAACAATAAAGGTGCCAGGGCAGGTTGCTCCTGCTGTTCTGCAAAGAGTCAATAGTGTAGAACAGTGGGATTTTTTTTTTGTTTGTTTCTGGCTCTTACTGAATATTTGTAACAGGATATTTATATAAATTTGGTGTAATTGTTGTTTTTTGAGCACTAAGCACTTACAGCCAAATGATAAATTGTCATTGTGTTCATATTTTTCCAAGCCGTAGGAGAGCCACAGTCGCTAAATGAATGAAAATGAAACACTGCCAGGCTTAGAAAGTGTACTGTATCCCATATTTTATCTGCTCAGAAAGTCCCTGGAGTCTTTCTTCAGAGGAGCCAGCCGTAGACGGTAATAGACCGAGGTTCAGGGTGGACATGAGCTGGAGTACAACATCAGGAAGGGGGTTAAGGGAAACAGAGAAAAATGTGCACACTCCTGGAACCCAGACAAAGAGAAGTGCTTCCTCTGATGTCCTCCCACCAGAGATGCCCCCTCTTTGGTGTGGTCCTCCTGCATCCTAGAGCGCTCCGTGCTCCAGGCGCTGGGCATCGATCGGCTCAGCCTGATGGATGTGCTCGCTCTCTCTTCTCTGTCTCTCTCTCACTCTCACACACAGCCAAAGCAGCAGCTCGCAGTAAACACTCCGGCTTTATTATCACCTCTTCACTCTTAGCCTTGCCAGTCTGTGAGCCATGCGCTTCAGCAGCGTGCCCACATATTGGAAGAGGAAGATGTTATGATCAAAAATTGGACGTGAACTCTCTTGTAGTGCTAGCCCACAGTGGTAACAGGTCAGGTCCTACTTTGTGAAATAACCATGGTTTTGTGTTGCTGCACTTGCTGTGGTGAATCTCATAGATAAATTCTTAGCTGGAGGGGACGCTGCTTGCCGTCTCACACCCAGGGGCAGTGCATAACATTGACTGCCCACACAAATACATGGATAAAATGGCTGCTTATTTGTACAAGGTATTGCTATTGATTTTGTTTTAAATACATTTTGCTTAGCCACCTGAGTATTGGCTTTGTGTCCATTCGAGTTGCTCTCTTAATGTTGTGTGAGCCAAGGCGGTAAGCACTGACCTAGATTGTTGTGCTTCTCGTAATTGTTCTTTATATGTAACATGACTGACACCCTTTCAGGTGGAAATAGACATTGTAGCCATCACTCCTCAGAACAATTAAAGCATGCATGTGTTTGAGAACTGCTTTATATTTGATGCGGTTCCTTGATAAGGTGAGCATGGTGTGGGTATCTTTGAAAAGTACTGGTGCTCCTCTACAGTAATCCCTGTAGCTTATACCTTAACCAGTGAAACATCAAACAAAGTGTTGGTCACTTTTGTAACTCTTTGCTGTCGTTACTCTCTTCATTTGTCCAGGTGACCAGTCACCCAGAGCCTGTGTCCCAGTCTATGAGCCTCCAGCAGCCTCCCCAGTCCCAGTATAACATGCCAGACAGGGACAAGCAGCTCTTGTTCTCAGAATTTGAAGATCTCAGTGCCTCCTTCCGCAGCCTTTACAAGTCTGTTTTTGAGCAGTCCTTCAGCCAACAAGGTAAGTGGGCTCACGGGAGCATCAAGTGGAAACCTAATAGAGGGCCTAAGCTTCAATCATCAAGGAACAGGATGATTCTCAGAACGATTTTCCTAATGCGGGTTTGTTCTTAACAGCTGGGGCTATAGAGAGTCTTTAGGCACTAATGAGGTTTACAAAGAATTGAGCAGGTTTTCAAACAGGCTGACGAGCCTATAGTGGAAATCTATACTGAGTATTTTCACGATCTTCTGCCAGAGAAAATGTAAAAACCACCTCATTTAATATACAAAAGCAGAGTCTGAGAGTCTGTGTATTTCATTAACCGACGCAGGCTTAATTCTCCACACGTTTCTTCACGTTAGACAAATGCTGTCTGCATCTTGTCACATGTCAAGTTTTTCACGTAGGGTATGTTTCATCAGATGAGTGGAAGAGGTTGCAGGCAGCTTAAGGCCTCAGTAAATCTGTTGGATTTGAGGTTCATTTGTCATAATGATGGGGAATTTGTATCATATAATACACGGTGTTGGATAGAGCACAGCTTTCCAAAGGGCTGTGAGTCCCTGCAGAACAAAAAGCAGTTTTGCTTGTAATCTGATTGACTGATAAACATGGAGCACTTGACAAGCGAGTTATGAGCAAAGTCGACTGAGCTTTCTGTGTATAACCTACTTTCACAAATCAAATGCATTTCATGCTAATGTTTTCAAAGAGTTCCTCTCCTTTAATCTATCATCTATGTTTCATTAGTTGAAAGTTGTAACCTTTTTTTATGTGCATAAAAGTGAAATCTCTTAGTCAGACAAGCTCTAGCAATTAAAAAGCGTAAATAATCGAGCTAGAGGATTTCACACTCTGCCGCTGTAGACAGTGAGCTAATTCACTGGCTTTGATAATAGGTAATGAGCTCGCATTATTATTCTGGTGCCGCGTTAATTGCTTTCTGTATTTCCCTCGTTGGACAATGGGCTTTCTGTGCCGATAAGAGATGCACCTTTGTCACCCCTGCAGTGAGTGTTACGTGCCGATTGTGGAGGTGCAGGGCTGGAGTCAGCTCTAAAAGCACTCCAGTGAAATAGGTTTACTGTGCCAAAGCTGTGAAGGACAGTGCCTCTTACGACCACTCCCCGGCACTCAGATGATTGCAGTTGGGTGTGCAGATGTTCATGCTCCAGTCATGTCTGCACAGCAGCACGATGAATCTGTCAAAGACGGCGTAGCTGGAGAAGAGTGTCGACGGCAACTCGAGACAGCGAACCTTAGAATCAAAACTGGTGCTGAGTCATTCCCTGACACGATAAAATGGCAGCTGGCCTGTCTCACTACTTAAATACAGGAGGCCCCTGTCCCATTACTGTCAGATGCTAAGACTGATGACCTGAAGTAGATGTTTAAACATGTGTTGGCTCCCGACTCTTATTTGTGTTTCTGCTTAAGTGCCTTAAATGCATTCGATCCTGCAACCATGCGAGTGCATTTGTTTGGAAAATTAGTAGCAGCTGGAGCTACGGCTAAATATAGTTTCATTATAAATTAATTTTCCATTATTTTTAGATTTAGTGATTCCCAGGGGCCAGGGTAATGTCTACAAATTGCTTTTTGCTGTAATAGAAAATGGTGCAAAATCTAAACGTGGTGATGAGAAACATATAAAAGCAACACATCCTCAAAAGTGAGAAGCTGAAACAAGTACCTAAGTAAAAAGTCAAATTATATTGAGTTAATTGTTGAATAATTTTTCATAATTTTCCTTGTTCCTGCACTGATTGTCTTTGTTTTATTGTAAATACAATTAAAACTTAATTGTGTTAATAATTCTTTACTTTATTGATGTTTTATTTTTCAGGTCTGATGGGCATACCGGCAGATTCCTCCCAGCAGACCCACACCTCCTGCTCCTATCAGCACTCCCCCAGTGGCACCATTAGCTCTCAGAACAGCCTCTCAAACAACCAGTCTAACAGCCACCCTAACAGCCACTCCACCAACAGTGGTCAGGTTCCCCTGTCCCATCCTGCCCAAGCCCACCCTGGCCACGGCTCGCCCCATGCGCAGCACCTCTCGCAGCACGGGGGCCCTCACAACCAACACAGCCAACACGCCCAGCACAGCCAACACAGTCAGCACCCACAGCACCAACAGCACTCCCAGCATCCCCAGCATGCTGCGCACTCCCAGCACGGGCAGCATCCATCGCAGCACCAGTCCCACAGCCAGCACCCGCAGCAACACACGCCACACCCCTCTCAACACACACAGCACAGCCAGCACCCTTCTCAACATGGACAGCAGCACCAGAGCCTCTCCCACCAGCCCCATCCTACCCAGCAACAAATGGCCTGCAACACAGGTAAGGCCCTCTGTCTGTCACTTGTCTGTGCACCCAGCGTCGCCTCGTGTTGTTCACTCTTCATCCTGTCCATCACGCAAACCACATGTAAAGCAAAGACGCCGTGCTCACAGCTGAATTGGATTTCTTATCGGTTCTCTTTCTTTCTTTTTTTTTCTTTTTTTTTTGTAATAAAGCACTGAGAAATTGTTTTAGATGCTGAAGACTAAAATCATCTCCTGATTTATTATCTGTGCTGTTGAGAACAAAGCAGTGCTGAAGCCGCTGATTTCTGCAGCCTGTCCAGTCACCTGGCACCTCCTAGTGGCCACACCACAGCACTGAACTGTTTAACACCCCAAAAAAAGGGGGTTTTATATTTGGCATTGACTTCTTATTCATTTTTCAGAAAAAGACTGCCAGCAAAACCATAAATGTGACTAAAATGACCTGACCTTTATGTGTAGACATTATTGTTGTTGTCAGGAAATAATGGCTTGCCATCGCCAGACAAAAGCTGTTTTCACACAATGCACCCTTCAACCTTTTTTCGACATTACCCAACAGAGCTCCTTTTAAGACTGCAAATGTCCAATGCAGTCTGATCAGACATTAAATGATCTTTTTTGTATGTATTTTTGGAGCGTAGTGGAGAGAAAACAGGAAAACTGGGAGAAAGGTTAAAAAATGGCTACGGGGCAGATTCAAACCTGGGCTTCTGCATTAACCTTTTAGCAAACTGATCACATGCTCAACCCTGTGAGCTTAACCTACACCCCAGACATTAAATAGTCTTTAACCTGCTATCTCTTTATTACAATATCGCTGTGAGCCCGGAGGGAGTAGTTATCCTGAAAATCCTGAGCAAGAGGGTCATCATGTGTGCTCCCTCACTGTAGCCTTTACCCAGGCCACACCCTGTCCTAAACCAAACAATGAGACTCTCCTTATGTGTACTCAGACAGCTGCTCAAATCTCGTTCTTCCGATACTGTCCAGACTTCATGTGTGAAAACGGCTCAGTCCCCAAAATGTACAGTTGTAACTGTTACCTCACATTTGAGGTTTAAATTCCTCTTAGCTGGATAAAACTACAACAGATGAGCACTAAAATGTGTCATGTACAGACAGAGATTTCAGTCCTCATACCACATGGGTCCATATTAAATGGGTTGCAACTGGCCCTACTCGGTGAGGAGGAAACTCCATTTGAACCAGAAGGGGAGGCAGACACGTTCTGCCAGAGCAAGTGCTTCTACAATTATGACTGAAACTGTATTTGTCCCTGGCGTGAACTTGGCATTGGAACCAAAATCACATGACTTTGATCTCTTACCTTGTAATGTTACACATAGTATGCTGTGTGTGTTGCAGGTTTACTGTCTGACTGGTACCCAAATCTGGATGCACTGAAAGAAAGCTGTCGTATTGCTAGCAGCTATAACTGGGCTGATGTCGACCTTTCACCTTACCAAGGTGCGGTTTGGTCACTACAAGTAGATCTCAATCCATTTGCAGTTATTAAATTTGATAAGTGAAGAATTTATAAAAACCTTTTGCTGTCAGATTTACCTCCTGTCTAACATGTATGCAGTCAGAAGATTTAAAGCTAGAAGCTGACAGTACAGTAATGCCCCAGCTTTTGATTGAGTGCTCAAATGTTGACTCTGTGGAGTTGATTACCAGTTTAATTAAACTGAGCTCTTCAATTAAATAACACTGCCTTCAAGTTTAATTACCAAAACACCAAGCTCAGCAGGTCAGTTTATCCAATTACAGTCTAGGATTGCAAGGTAGGATGTTTTTAAATATCACCCACTGAAGGTTACTGACATAATGAATATATATTGCAGCAAAGTTTTTGCTACTTGCTTGTAAATTAGTTTGTCATTTGCTAAAATTTATATTCTGTGGAAAGTCAACTGGAGCGGTTTCACACATTTCATTGTCACAAAATTTTATTTTAAGTCAGTTAAGTCCAGCACCACCTGCTTCTCGTGTGCTAAAATGTATGTTTTATCTTCCCAAGGACTGAGAGAGAGCATGAGACAAGCAGAGTTGAACAACTGGTCTCTGGAACCCACCCAAATCGCAGACCTCTGCTCATCCATCAACCAGTTTTTTGCCCGCACTGGTGTGATCCAGCCACAGGGGGAAGTGCAGCCTCCCGTTTGCCATGGCTCCATGCACACCAACAAACCCAGCCAGCACCTCAACGCAGGTTAAACAGCTGATTCTTAACCTTTCAGCCCTAATCAGAGATCATTGCTGGCGTGTAAATGTGCATGTTTGTGGGTCTGAAATGACTATCGACTCAAAAAGAGTAATCTGTATGTTCCCTTTGTTTGGAAATCCAGTAATCTGTGTAATGAAAGATTCATCCAATTATATTTTGACCCTTTTCCTTGATTAGTTTAGTTTGTATTTCATTATACAGTATATGAATGCTTAATTGCTTAAACATCAGCTTTCATGAGGAAGTCTTTTTGCCGTTGCACATTAACAATTGTTTATCTGGAAGATTTTTCCTCCTTCCAAGTCAATCTCACAAACAGTTTGCCTGTCTTTAAGGACAAATATAGATTTGTTAGCTATGAAGCACTGGTTTCTACACCAATAATAAATATAACTTGACCTTAGAGAGGAAATAATTCACAAATAGATAAAAGTACCAACACTGGCACTAAACTAGGAGAGTGCGAACACTACCCAACCTTATGAACTTTATAGTGTAGTTACATTTAGTTGCATGAGTTATAATAATAACGATGATAATAATAGCAATAATAATAATAATAGCAAGCAGCTTGGCTGCACAGTGGTGCATCAGATGTCTCACAGTAAGAAGGTTCTGTGTTTGAACCTGTCAGAGGACACGCTTGTCAGTTTAATTGGTGATTTTAAAGTGGCTGCTGGTCTAATGATAAATGGTTATGTTTCCCCGTGTTAGCCTGTTAAAAAAAGACACTGTGCCAGGATGAGCGAGGTTAGCCAGGGGTGAAGAAGTCTTCATGCATGGAATAAATTGGCACTGGATCAATCCTAAATGTCTAGACCTAGTTCAATAAGGAGAGATTGTCTGGAAGAATTGAAGATGATTTATTGAGATATATACATTTTGATTAATAAGCTATTTGGCGATTAGACTCCGATGAGCAGAACTGAGTCTCGGCATGGATAGAAACTGGGATGGGAGGCTTGGATGGGGCTTTGAATGACCAGGCTGAGGCGGGTATCATGAAAGAGAGTCTGAAAGGAAGAATGACAGACGAACACTGAGATTTAACTGGTCGATGGCAGCAGATGGCTGTCTTTCCCTGTTTCTTCCTGTTAAATGGGAGTTCTTTCTTCCCAATATCGTCAAGTGCTTGCTCAGAGGGGGTCCTTCAATTGTTTGGGCTTTTGGTCTTTTATTGTATGGACTTTACCTTACAATATAAAGTGCCTTTAGGAACTCTATAAAAAAAAACTGAATGATTTTTGAACCAACTGATTGGTTCAGAGCGCAGAAAAGAAAATGATTGGAGTATTGGGAAGGAGGAAATGACCTAAAGAATAGAGTAGGAAACACTCAGGAAAATCAGGCAGATGAGTGAATACAGATCTTCTTTATTGAACATGTGTGTAAGCTTGATTTGTGTTCCTCATAGTGCTATCAGAGGAGTAAAACAGTAATTCCTCAACCTACCTGCACAATGCTGTGTAGTTTAAAATGTAGTTTTACTTGAAACAAAGAAGCTCTGATAAAGTTTTAAGTTGTAAATTTTAATTATTTATTGTCAAAGTTCCTGAAATTTACCCACAATTTAAATTTTGTGGTAAAATGACTGTTTCCTAAAACGGAAATGGTGGCCAAACTGGAACATTTTGAAAGTGGCTACTGAGGATTTTCAAAATAATAGGTCCTGAGTGGCAAACATGCACATTTTGGTGCCTGTGTCCACTCAGTGTTCATTCTCTCCTTATTTTATATGACTAATTTTAGTGGCCTGAACAGATAAGAAGATAAAACAAAGGTTATTTGTCAGCAAAGGTGTTTTCCATCTGGTTTAAAAGATCTTTTAAATAAAGTTTCCATTTTTCTCAGCAGGAAACCTGTACATGGACTCCAGACAAAGTATGTCCATGATGGTTCCTCCAGCATATCCCCACATGCCCCCCATGAGCAGTGCAGGACCCACTATGACAGGTGACATATAGCCACAGCAGAAGCATGGATGAAATTATTCTTCATAACAGTTTTCTTACCTCAGTTTGAATGTTTTGGGTTTTGTTTGTTTCTTTTTTGTTTTTTAAGCACAAACGAACACTTCCTCTGCTCTTGCTCTCCAGGACACCATGCACAGATGAACCAGCAGCACATGATACCTGCCAGAAACTTCCAGATGCATCGCATGCAAGCTGACGATATCCAGGATGATTTTGATTGGGACTCCATTGTCTAGCTGCTAAAACTGCTTCTCGCAAATACACAGGAGCGAAGGGAGGAGATGGAAGCCAGGCTGAGCTGAAAAGGCCGCAGGTGGAGGAGGCCAATGTGGGTGGACTGCAGAAGAACATTTGAGAAGCTTTGGTGGAGAGACGCAGAATTCAGACTTCAGACTTCAGAGTCCTGACAGTTTAAAACAAAAACAAAAAAATAAAAGCAAAACATAACTAGAAAATGTTACTTTGAAGACAATCATATTTAGTCGGACATTTTAAAGTGATTGCTTACAAACTTGTGTAGAAGCAAGTTGAACACATTCACGTCTGAACCACGTGTTCCTCAGCCAGCCCTCTCCCCGTCCCTAGCGAGCGGCCTTCCAAAGTCCGAGCCCCCTCCCCCCTCCCTCCTCCCCTCCTCCAGCCTCCTGCTCCGTAACCGTTATGTGATTTGAGCGGCGTGTTCAGCTTGTAATTCTTCTCGTGTTGACCTTGGCCTCAGCTGCCTCTTGGATGAGTTTCTCTCTTTATTTTTTCTTTTTAAATTGTTATTTTCTTCTTCTCCTTTTCTTTTTTTTAAATGAAACACAAGCCGTCGCTGTGAGTGATGTCATGGTGTTTGTTGGTCACTTTTCGGAGAAAGTTGTCCCGCTGTGGCTGAATCAGTGGTTAAAGATAGGTTTACAAAAAACAAACAAACACAGGGTTTAAAATGTGTAACCAGGCTTGATGTTAAACAAACCAGAATAGAAAACAAGAGGGAGATCACGGAAAGTGTTTTTTTTTTTTTTTTTTTTTTAATGTTTTTGTTTGTTTGTTTTGTTTTTTAAAGCCAGCCAATGTGATCAGTCTCACTGCATTAGACGCGTTATGGGAGTACAGCAACTGTCTTTCTTTATTTCTCTGTCCCAAGCACTTCAAGATGAATGAATGAGTGGAAGATGATAGCAGAGAGAAGTCAGATATTAGTCATTTTAAAATTCATTCAGCCCAGAGTTATTTTAAGCTCTCCGTTTGCATCATGTTTGTTCATATTTGGCTCTTCCATTCTCATTAAACAAGTTTTAGGCTTAAAGTTTGAACAGCAGCTTTCAGGCCAACTTATTACTGAACATTAACGGTAACAATATTTGCATGTTGGTCAAACAAGGAGCTGCATACAGTAATGTTTAAGATGTGTGAACTCTAAAGTGTCCTGTTCAGTTAAAAAAAAAAAAACATAGGGGGGGCGGGGGGGACTGAAATGTCCATTACTTATATTTTGTAAACAAGACATAAGCTGAAGTCTTTAAACGAAACACTTCTACTGTGGAGGATTTAATTGTTAATTTTCTTCCTGAGAGTTAATTGAGTGCATTGTTACCTTAATGTAAGGGAATACAAGGAAAATATTAGTCCAGTTTCAAAGGTACTAAATCGGTCGCGCTATCATCATCACTTTATTACCTTGAAATTTTTGCTATTTGTTGTGATCGAGGGTTATGACCTGATAATGAGCGACTGGCAGATCAGTCTTTTTCTTTTGGAGAGAGCTGGGCTGCAGTCGCACAAGCCTAAAGACCGGTCGGAAACTCCCTGGTAACCACCAGTCACTAAGGAAAAATACATTTTTGCTAGGGGAAATCAGCCACAAATATGAGTGCTGTGCTGTGCAGAAAACCTGCTTGTGATTGCTTTTATCACCAGCCGTGATCGCCTGCTGTTTGCACGGAAGACGCCAAGTACTCACTAAGTGTGCGATGGAAACCAGAAATGAAGATCATTTGCTTTCATAGTAAAAGTCTTTTGAAATATGTTTGTTGGGCCTGTAAGGCACAATTTCTGAGTGTTCACAGATACCGCAAAGGCTCTCAACTTGTTTGTTGGCGTCTTCCATGCAAACTACGGGCGACCACGGCAATCTGATAACAACCACAGCAATGCTTTTTGGTGGTTTTTGGCGGAGCACCCTCTTTGCAACTGGTTTCACCAGGCGACCGCCAACAACCTCGAGAAATTACTCACCAACTGGTTGTGGAATGCACATTTTTCCATAGTGACCAGCGGTTTCTATGGGGTTGTTAACTGGTCTGTAAGCTTGTGTAACTGGCACCTTAATCTTAAGCTGCTGGAAGTGGGCTCATATTTACTGCACACACATAAGAGTCTAATTCTGGCAATAAGTATATTTCCTAAATTAAAGAATTAGTCCAAACCATAGATTAAATGTTTTGCTGTAGTAACAAGTAAACTGTAGAGAATCCAAATAGTAACACTTTCAATTCTTGCTGCCTTGAAACAGGTTATTAAAGTAAATTGTATTTTGAAAAACAAACAATTGAAACATAACACTGCCTTCTCAAAGAGAAACAAATCTGATCAGCAGAGCAGACATGGCGTTTTCTTTTTTTTCTTTTTTTTTCCTTCTTCATTGTCATTTCTGATGTTTAAATTTTTTGGGAGGATATTAATTTTTTTCTTTAAACTGCCCAGAGGTTTGTTTGTTTGTTTTTTTAATAGAGATTTTGCTACTATACAATCATAACCGAATGAGAAATGTGACTCATACAGGACGTACAGTATATATGTGTGCTGGTTATAGAGTGTGTGTGTGTGTGTGTGTGTGTGTGTGTGTGTGTGTTTGGTTTTATTGTAATTTTAGGGCTATGATTGATTACTGCAATCATCTCTATGCTATCTATGAGCACAAAGCAGATGCACACAGTGCTTAAAGACTAGATTTGACTTAGACTTTTTCTTGGAAAAGGGTTTCTGAAGCACAGAACAGGGAAATCGGTGGTTCTGGAAACCTGTCCACTGTGTCCTGTAACAAGTGGCTCCTTAATCAGACAGGCGCTGAACTTTAGAGACACTATGTGTTTTTTTTGTTTTGTTTTTTTTTTTTTCAAGTTCTTTGCACACTTTTTTGTTTACTCATCTGATTGAAGCTGCAAAGAACCGTGTGGATCGAGTAATCATTCTTATTAGTTCAGTCATTCATTCACCTATCCATCATTTCACTTTTAGTCTTCCTGACATCTAGAAACAATGAACAGGATTATTTTTGTCCTCTGTACATCTATGACACTATATTTTGGGAAGTTGAAATTGATACCAACCTTAATTAAATATGGTAAATATGAAGCTACCGAGACACAGAAATGCTGGTTAACACAATCTTTTTGCATTTTTGTACATATTCCCAGTTTATGGAGTTCAGATAATTATTACAGTTGTTTTGCACCAAAAGAAATTTTGTTACTTCTTGTCCAACATCTTTTTTAGAAACGTTTCACAACTTTCTGTCTCCTTCTGGGTTTTGCGACATCATTCATTGCTAATGAAAGATTTGTTGGCACTACTTTTTTTTTTCGTAGTTTGCTGTGGTCAAAGGCACTGCAATTTTAGAAATGCCACCAAATAGAAAAACGCTGCTAAAGCACACAAAACACAACTATAACAGAAAAATGCCACAAAAGATTACCAAAAAAAAACAACTCGCAAAACGCAGTGGAAGTGTTTTTGGGACATAGTAATGTGACGGAACAGCTGCAGCAGTGACAAGCTGACAGTAGACGGCTAAGAGTAAACGTGTATCTACGATATTAATTGAATTCACATCAGTTTTTTATATATATATAATATATATAGATATAATATATATATATATAATAATATACACAGTTCTATCGGAGATATATGATTGTATATTATAACATATCAATTATTTAATATTTATACACAAATCAACAACAACAGTCGCCTTAAGGTGCTTTATATTGTAAGGTAAAGACCCTACAATAATATAGATTAAGACCCCAACAATCATACAACCCCCTCAATGAGCAATGACTTGGGAACATTGGGAAGGCAAAACTCCCTTTTAACAGGAAGTAACCTCCAGCTGAACCAGGCTCAAGGAGGAAGGCCTTCTGACACAAAAGGCCTGTGGAAGAGAATCCTATAATGAGTCACGTGACGCATTAGCTGCATCCTTTTCTCCCTCACAACACCGATGAATCCTCCGCTTTTAAACACGTCTCGGTGCATTCGGCCTGTTTTGGTTTCTGTCACTTCTGCAGCTGATCCTTCACATTATTTTCTCCCTAAAAGCGTTTGCGCTGTGTTTTGAGATTTCAAGATTTTTTCTTTGTGCCGGTTTTCTTAAGTTGCAGTGTGTTTGACCTCTCAGGGCCACCGTATAAATCCTGCACTCTGGCATCATATTTACCATATGGACGCGTAATATTCTCATCAAACCCAGCTAGAAAGTGGAAGAGATGTCAAACTATCCCAGAATTTCAAACGATTTCTTCAAGACAGTTAAGCAAGAAAGACTGCAGTAGTAGGCATAGTTTTGATTTTATACTTGGAAGACAATCATGGATTCTTTTTTATGATTTTATGATATTGCGAAATGTTTTTTCTTATTGTGTAAAAAGGCACTTTCAAGTCTCTTTTTTTTTTTTCTCTTCTTTTTTTCCCCCCCAAATTGGATGGTGGAAAGCCATGCTTCTGAATACATAGGTGTGTTTTTGTTTTGTTTTTTGAATCTATTACCAGCCTGGTTTTATACTGTAGACCTTCTATTAAACTGACCAGAGCTGCACTGTGCAGAAGAACTTGAGTTCTTTTCTTTGAACTAATAATACTGCCATTGATTTTTATTTTTATTTTTAAATTGTTGTTGTTGTTGTTTTTTTAATTTCAGCTTTTATTTTGTTTTGTTTTTTTTCCCCCTGCCAGTCACACACCTGTATACTTTTGCATCATTCTTGCCATGTTCCTTTTCTCCCTTTGTTTATCAAATGTCTGCTGATTGTGGAGGATCGCTTTATTCAACTGCCGGGAATTTTCAAAATTAGGACTCAGACAGGACGCTTAAGCCACCTGAGTTAACCAGTTCATGACTCTTTTGGGTGAGTGTGGGCCAAAGGACTGCAACCGAAGACAGCAGCAACAAAATACAAACAAAAAAGGAGAATCGTGTTTGTTCTTCGATGATCTTAAGGGCCTGAAATGGAGAACATCCAGCGAGCCGTTGGTTGGAGTGAAAATGGAGTGTTTCGTTTCTTCCAGGCGAAGACGGTGAACGCGTATAGTACTATAAAAGCACATCATCCGGCAGGAAAAGCAGAAGATTTGATCGAGCGGATGAAAGGGAAAAGAAAACGGTGTTGACAATGACTGGATCACAATCAGTTTTACATTATGTCTGAGTGAGTGTGTTCGCTTGTGGGAGTTTAAGTTCTATTTTATTTTTTCCCAAGATGATGATTTAAGTTTTTAAATACCGCTGGACATGTACCTGCCAGAGAGATTATTATTATTATTATTATTATTATTGGGGGGGAAAGATAATGGAAAAAAAAGTCTTGTTACAAAATGGGAGAGAACTGCCAACATCTACTGCTGATTGGGGCCTGTTTTATTCAGTGCTGGTGTTGTTGTGCTTGTACATATATGTCTTCAATCATCCCCCCCATCCCTTTTTTGTTGTTTTTTTCCCCCCCTCTTGGGGGTGGGGTATCAAGGCAGAGGGTGGGTCTTATCCATGAATGAGGAAGGGAGAAGAATAGAGTATTTTGTTATTGTCCAATCAGAGGGTGACAGTATGTATATATCTATATTGTATATATGTGATAAAAAAAATGCGTTGGCTTTTTGTGTGACACTACCTTTTACTTGTACTATGGTTCTACATTCAGTGTTTCAGTGTTGATAATATATATTTGGTTTGTGTTTTTATTTTTCCGTTTTGTTTTTTTTTTGATTTTGTCTCTGTCATTTCTTGTAATTTTTTTCCCTCCTATATTTGTCTTCGTTTTTGTTTATTGCACGGTTTATTACTTTTGTTGTCCGATGAGGTGACACAGCTACTCTTTGTATTCGTTTAGTGCTGTAAAATAACTCAAGTGTTATTAGAATTGTCGATACCACCGCCCACCCCCACCCCCTTCCCCAATATGCATGAATGGCACTTAAAGAAATAAAATATGGTAACTTCACTGTGGAATAATGTGCTGTTTGAGCTTTTTCTGAAATCTTAAAGCCCGTAGGAGATGAGTTCTTTTTATTTACAATAAATAATCTGAAGACATTTGTTTTACTTGCCACATAATTTGAGCAACTTGTATCACTTGTGTCCCAAGTGATACAAGTTCAGTCAGTTTCAATTATATAGCGCCAATTGACAACATCAGTAAGCCCATTTGACCAAATGGTGACAATGGGAAGAAAAAAACTCCCCTTTAACAGGAAGAAACACTCAGTGCATCATGAGAGCTGAACTATCGTCATGTTATGTGCAGAAGTCTCAATCAGACCACGGAGAGCAAAGATCTCCCGGCGCCACCTATAAAGTCATTCTGTTGTCTTGCTGTTGCCTAACTAGTGCATCAGTAACACACCTGCGTTTATATATATCTGTAGTCTCAATGAACACTCACAGCAACATTTTAGCCACATGTTCATACAGTGTTTTATTCTATACACTGCTAGGCTCATTTCGATCACCACCACGACCTAACATGCGTCTTTGGGCGGTCGAAAGCAGGAGCACCTGGAGGAACCACACACTCTCAGCAAGGACATGCAAACTCCATAAATCTCCACCTAGGGTTCAAACAAGAAACCTTCTGCTACACACTGCACCACCATGTCACACTACTGTCATCACTTTTGTTTTGCACCGAAGCAGGTGAACTGCATTCGGATTGGTTTATGCTTCCTACCTGGATGCGCTGATATCCATGAAGTTGACCTGACTTGGTGTTTTATACTGTGAGGATTAATTTTATGAGCGGTGCATAAGCTATGATAAAAGAAATGTAGATGAGAGCAACTTGCAGACACACAGAAACTTCTTTACACTCCCAGAGCAGAACTGTCAGTGTAAAGAGGCTATTAGTTTAATGTGGTCTAAATGTGAAGGGTAGGGTATGCTCATTGCCCATCAAAGATTTATCATTTTTCAAACTCTACTTCACATCAAGGACGTTTTAAAGGATGATACATCTTTACATCAAAATTTATGGGAATACCTAGAATTAAAAACAACAAAAAAAAGCTGTACAAAATATTTACATTTTTCTGTATTTGTAGCCTAAATTCAATTTGCTCTCTTCATCAACTGTGACAAAACGTCACCTTTTCCACAATTTTCATTTGTCTACTTGTAACAGACCTTTATAGGTGTACTGGTGTATTCCAGAGTTATTGCAGTTTTGCATTTTCTAATTAGTTTTTTAATTTTTATTTTGTCTTGACTTTAATTTTTTTTAGTTTGGTTTCAGTTAGCATACAGTGTGGATTTTCTTGTTTCTGTTTAGTTTTTTATCTTCTCAAAATGTTAAATTTTTATTAGTTTCAGTGTTCAGTTTTAGTCTTTTTTTTAAAATTATTATTATTATTTTAGGTAGGACGTGTCAGAGGCATATAGGTATTACAATAAAAACACTGAAAGCAGTTGGCTCAGTCTTTTACACCTCCAGTCTCAATAGATACGTCCATCAATGCCTCATCACACACGCTACAATACATTTTTCACCAAACTAGCAAAAGCTTAAACTACGTAACTTTTCTGTGTACTTCAGATTTTTTTTCCCGTCATATTCACTAATTAATTTCAGTTTGATTTAAAAAAGAAAATTGTTGCAGTTTCTCATCATTGCAAGTCTTTATGATATTAGGTGCCCTGAGATGACTCTTGTTGTGATTTGGCGTTATATAAATAAAATTTAATTGAATTAATCGCGTAATGATTAATATATCATATTTGATATGTGAGTTTTTGTAAGGTTTTGGGACTTCTGCATCAACAGTGTGATCCCCACTGAAAATGTAACTAAAATGCACAATTACATTTATGATGAAAATTAAAACTCTTATATGGAAATTACTATTAAAGGAAAAAAGAACCCACATTATTTTCAATTTTTTTTTTTTTTTTAAATTTTCAGTTATTTCATGGTTCTGACATCAAAGGTTTATCACTGTTCTCACCAACGCTGGAAACCACGTAACATGTCCACAACAATCAAAGTCTAAATACAACAAAAAATTAACATTTACAATATTTTAATTGAAAATTATCAAATGAATCTATTCAACCTAAACATTTCAATTTGTGTGGTTTTACATTTTCATATAAACAACACTCCTAACATTCCAAAGTATATGACTATTAAAGGCATCAGCATTTACAACTTTTAACTCTATTCACAAAGATGGCTACATTACTTACAAAATCACCCATGTTTTTATGTTACAGTGTATTTTTAATATCTTAAAAATAAATTTCATAGCCAGGTAGAAGGATGTATGAGTGTTGTTCTTTCTCTGCCGTGGAAAGGGAAAAGACACCAACAACATGTTGTAAATATTTGTTCAAGCAGAGGTAAGTTGTAGATTGCTTAGAAATTGCTTTTTAACAGAGCTGATTATTAAAAAAAAAACATTATGTATGTTTTTGAGCTGTGATATAGTTCATGTGATCAAATCTCAAGAGCTTTGGCTTTAAGCACGCAGCCCTCCATGTAGTCTACATGCAGTGTGATACTTCACATTATCCTATAGGGATCACACAGTATATGCCACACCTTAATAGGATCATTTTTCTGGCTCGAGTAGGTTCATGTTCAAAGTTTCCCCTCCTGCTGTTGACTCTGTGCCCAAATGTTCATATAAATGTAACACATGAGCCAGACATCTTTGCTCTGAACTGTCTTCCCGTTAGTGATGTGTCGGTCGCGAACGAAATGGCTCTTAGAGCCGGGTCTTTGACGTGAACGATGCGAGCCGGCTCCTTATTGCGAGCCATGGGTTTTTTCAGAAAGTTTATTCATGCAGGTCCATATGACAGAGAATGTGCATTTTCTTTTTGTTTTCATATTTTAATTTATATTTAATTGTGTTGTGGTTTGCAGTGTTTTGTGTTGTTTCACTTTAAATGTGTTTAAAAGGAAAAAGCTGAAAATTTAAATAGTTAAAAGCTGAACTGTAACTAGTTGGTTTTTGTATTATATGATTTATATATTACATTTTATGTGGAGTAAATAAATAAAAGTATATTTATGGTGGCCCCTACAGACAAAGCACGTACAAACTCCAAAACACGTAAAAACTCCAAAACACGTACAAAAGACAACAGAAGGGCTCCAGGATGCTGGGCGCAGTGTTGAGCTTTTGTTACCTAGTGGCTACACAAGCCAGCAAGTACCAACGACCGGATTTGGTGTGTGGTAGTAACAGGTAAATGAACATTTTTTTTTTAATTAATTGAATATATATGAGTGCTTGTGTATAAATACACAAACAATACACATATGCTTTCAAATGTGTAATTTAAATGATCTAGGTAGCTCTGTTTTGGAAGTTCAGTTAACGCTAGAAATGTGCTTTGGAGTTTGTATGTGTTTTGTCTCTAGGGGCCACCGTATATATTTATATATAAACATATATAAATAAAACCACTTTTTTTTACATTAGTAATTCCTTTTGTGCATAATTTCATATTATTGTTAATAATAAATTAATTAAAGCAACAAAACAACCTGAAGAGCTGGTTTGGATACGAAAGAGCCGGCTCTTTTTAGTGAGCCGAGCCGAAAGAGCCGGTTCTCTAAAAAGAGCCGGAAATCCCATCACTAACTTCCCGTGGTGGTCACTTAAAGCTCTGAACAGACTCACAGAGCCATGATGTGAAAACATTTCAAAGCCACCTTAGAATCTACCTCTCTGAAAAATACTGAATGCATAAAGTTATGTAAATGCAAAATACTCTTAAAAGAAATCCCTGGTGCTGCATGTTATTATTCAGTTCTCTCCTGCTGTTATTACAGTTGTCGGTTAGTGAGGGCAAACCTGTGTTTGATGTTACATAACAGGTAGATTGTGAGTCAACAGAATCTCGGGCAGGAAAAGGCAAGTGTTGCTTTAGGTATTATCTACCTATGAATAATAAAAAAGCAATAATATGCATTCAGTTTGGAAACTGACCTCAGCCGGCCCATAAATCAAGTAAAAAACCTGCCTCGATTAACAATTCAGCCAACAGCACACACACTTCCACACAATAAAACAACACTTCAGACATGTACACTGCCAAACAGCAGATTACTCTCTATTATATTATTCATATTTATCTATCAATAAAATTGAGACAAAGAGTTACAGGTATGACTCATAGGCCTGTTTCTAAATTCAGATTAAATTCTTGAGAAACATGGTGCAGGTAACAGCTTGGAGTCACTTTGACCAGGATGTATCGTTTATCTGCATAACAGTCTCAAAATAGCAAACTTCCTTTCTCAGAGTGATGCTGAAGAAACGAGTCCATGCACTCGTTACCTCTGGCTGAACACTGAGATTGTTCTAATGGCTGAAAAGCTTTCAGTGGTAGAAAAAAACCCATCACATTTCTCTCTGATTAACTTCTCTTCATTGGCTCCTTGTTAACACCCCAAAAATCTTACTTCTCCTCCTCGCATACAAAGTCCTGAATGATTAGGCCCCAATTAAAGACCTGCAAGTGCCATATTATCCCAAAAGAGGTTTCTTTCCTGTGGATTCAGGTTGCTAGGGGACTTCCCATCATGCACTGGGGACTTCTCTTCCACTACCCACTGTGCATGTTTTAGCCTGTGCTTTGTTCGTTATTTTACAGAATAAAGCACCTTGAGAGGATAAATAAACCTGAACCTCATTTATTTTTCAGCTAAGTGAATATGCGGAGCTATGATCAGCAAAATATAGCTGAAGTATAAAAAATAACAATAGTAGAACAATGCATTAATGCGTTTGCACCATTTTTTCTGGTTGGTGGAAATAGGGATTATCTATAATTATATGACTTCATAAAAGGTGTTGGGTAGTTTAACTGACTGCTTGCTGTCATATTTCAGACCTGCCTATAGAACAAAATGACTGGGTTTGCATTAGGGGGATAGTGACTGTGGTCTATCCCCTATGCAGCTACCCTTAGAAAAATCTGGAAACTATTGTTATGGTCATCAAACCACAACTTTACAGAGCTCTCAAAACTTAGGGAAGGTCATCAAATGTCATCCTTATGGGAGAAAGGGTTAAACCTTAAAAATCATAATATTTAATGCCGTAATTATACATTTCAATAAACTATAATTTACAATGCAGCTATAGCTGTGCAATGAATGCACATGAGCAAAAAAATAGAATATTTTCCTCTGAAATATGAAAGAAAGAAGGTGTACTTTATTGATCCCCGTAAGGAAATTCCTCTCTGCATTTAACCCATTCACTCAGTGAAGCAGTGGGCAGCCATTGGGTGCCTGGGGAGCAGTGTGTAGGGTACGGTACCTTGCTCAGGGGTACCTCAGGGTAGCTGTTCAGGGGAATCGAACCCCTGACCTTCCGATCATGGGGCCACCACTCTACCTACTGAGCTATCCCTGCCTTCTTTCCTGTGGATTCAGGTTGCTAGGGGACTTCCCATCATGCACTGGGGACTTCTCTTCCACTCTCCACAGTGCATGTTGCAGACATCGTTGGCTCATAGAAATACTAATGTGAAATACAACTAAACTGTGCTTCAGTAGTCTTTCAAACAAAGCATCAGGTATATATTTTAATATTTTCCTATCCGGTGCTTTATTATTTCTTTTTAAAAACCTTAGCTATGTCTGTATCAGGTGTCAAAATTTGCTCTTGTTATGCTGTCTTGCACTTTAACTAAAACTCCCAAAACCTTTGAAATGACTGGATGCCATCCAGATGTTTCTAATTACATGTTCTGTCTGCTGCAATGTGAGAAATCAACATAACTAAAATGTCTTTCGTCATTTATTTGTTACTGTCATCATTTATGCTCCATAGCTGCAGTTGTCTCTTTGAAATCCAGTCTTAGATATCTGCCCTCGCAGACTGATTACTTACAATAAACTGAAAGTGACAGTTTATCCAGTTCTTTGTCAGTAATTATATTTCCCCTTAGCGTTGGCAAAGTGACAGCTTCCTCAGCTTGTTTTAAAGGTAAATGCTTCTGTTTTTAAAGTTAATTAAATCTGGCAGGATTTGTTCAAGAACACTGGAGGATGATGGACGAGGTGACTGAAAGATGTCATAAAAAGCAGGAGGAGCTGCAACAGCTGTCAACATGGTGGACATGGGAACCGGGGTGGTGCAGGAGGTGTCCGTGGGGTAGTGGAGGTGAAGACATGAATCAGCACATCTGCGTAACGCACGGTCACCACCGGTGAAGAAGCAGGTGGAGTGAGGACCTGGGTGATTCACAGTGTGACTCCTCTTGTCTAACGGCATTTCCGAGATATTTTAAACTAGATGAAATTGGTGGAAGAGGAAGTGCAGTTAAAATAGAAACTCTGGCTGAGTGTCCTGAGGTGAACTGAGTGATCAAGTAAAAGCATTGCAATTATGTGCACTAATAAGGGCACAAGGTCATACCTTATAAAGCTGCCACGCAGATGCTTTCATGATCATTAACAGCAGGAACGGTGTTACCTTTTATTCCTGTTAAAATTAGACAGAGACATCTACACTGTGCAGAGAGAGGTGGTAAATTTTCCTACACATCTGATCACAAGTGTTACAACTCAGCCAGTACTTATAATTTAAAGTGCTGCTCTGACCCCAGCCCAGTTCCATCTCCTACAGTCACAGTTCACAGATCTGCAGGCTTGTACAGGAGCGTCCACATGGACAACCAGTATGTGGTATCGCAGCAGCCTCTAGTGGCCACAGGCACTTCCTGTTAGTAGTGAGAAATGTCACGTCTACCCAATTTGCTCCAAAGGAACCAGTACACTTACTATATCTGTGAGGTTACACTACAGCCCAACAGGAAGTCCAACAAATGAAACTGTGTTGCTTGCTTTAGCTGTTTACCCCCCACCCAGCCCCCTTTTTTTCATTATTAATTTAGCATTATGGTGCTCTAGCGCTTTGACTATAAGGTGTTAAATGATCTAAAAAAAAAAAAAAAAAGGTTGTCTTGTATTTTACTTAATCAGACTGACTGACTGAATCATGCAATATAAAATTATATGTATATTCATACAGATGTTGATGAAACCAGCTATTGTAAGGCCTTGCTTCCTCAATTAACATACATAATACATACACACACAATACATAATTTCCCGAGGGATTAATAACGTATTCTGATTCTGATTAAGTCTACTTTTACTGAAAAAGTTTTAACTCGGCTCTCATTTGAACTTGTTTCTACATTATTCTGTTAAAAATAAAATCTTAATAAACTTAATAATTTAACAAAATAAATTAACCAACACGTGCTTGTGCTTTTGGAAACACTAAATCCCATTTCCCCCCATGTACCTCCCTCATTTTGAAATGACGTATATTATTTAAATTCTAAAATACTGCCCTATTAGATTTAGAATAACTGCAATAGAGATATGGCAACAAGGAAGCAACAGCTCAGTTACTTAAAATTAAAAATACATAAAAACAGAGGACGCATTGACACCCTTCTGCCTGCATTTCCACTGCTTTTATTGAGTTCCTCTCTGCTATTCATGGATGCACAGATGGTACCAGCCTACAGGCCCATTATGCTCACAGATGAATCTAGGCAAGGTACTTAAATTGGCATGGTTTCATGTTAGGCTGCAGTGTGGACAGGACTTGGACCACTGCTCGCAAGAGAGCCTTGCTCTGGTTGTCCACAAAAAAAAAAAAAGAAAAAGAAAGAAAGAAAACCAAAACACCCCCCTCCTTCCTCGCAGGCTGACTTGAGAATTATATTTGCCCCATCGCTGTGTGTGTGAGCAAGGGTCTGAGAGGCTGCCTCTCCCAACTCCACTACACCGCGATTCGAGTCACTGAAAAGGCTTTCGACTCAAGCCTCCCTCCATCCGCCATTTTCAACAGATTGACAGCAGGTAGAGCACAAAAATCACAAGTTCCCGGTGAAATAAAGCAGGTAAGTGCGCGTCTGAGTATCCTAAACCCAACAAACACCTTACGACAGGAAATATTGAGGGAGAAAAACCGCTCCAACCACCTTACTCCCGGCCAGCATCGGGAAGAATAAGGGGAGCGGACGGTTTGCCTACAAGGGTAACAATAAACTGCATCTTTCAGGCGCTTTAGTGTAAGGCTTCCAGTCAGTTTTGTTTGCTTGGATCAACTTTTCTTTTCTTTGACGATCTGAGAGAAAACGCTTTAAAATGCGCTCTACGCACACACCCCAATTTAAAATCTCATGCTGTTTGTTGCTTGAACTTCAGCTAGGGGGGATTTAAACATGTCTGATCACAACTCCAGGAACGCCGGTGGTAGTAAAAGAAAAAATATATAATCAATCTACACCGACTGGCCAATAAAAAGTTAAGCATTTTAGCCTTTATTTTAAAGGGGCATCAATAGCTCAAGCTCGAGTGCCTCAAGTGGAGACAGTGAGGTTTATTGTCTCAGATATGCCATTTATCTGCCACTGCCTCATCATTTTGTCACGTTACAGTCGTTAAGGTCAAAATATCTGCTAGTGAACCGCTCGGGTTTTATATCTCTTTATTGGATTGAGTGTAATAATGCGTATGCCTGGTCCACAGAGCCACACATGGGTCAGCTGCTTATTGCTGTCCCTAACAAATGGCTTTTCTGCCAGTTGGGATACAAAGCGAGAGACTTAAAGCTCAGTATGTGCCTGTTATGGAAATAGTTGCAGGATTAATTTGCTAAGCTGAAAGTTAATTCCGCGATTAGTTAATAGACAGGAAAAAAACACCTCTAAAGCCAACAAGCAAAAGATTATTTTGGCTTTTTTCCTCAATATCTTTTACTTTTTATGAGTGTAATTTGAAAAGTTTCTGTTAACTTGCACAGCGTATGCATGATTGTGACAGTTTCTGCCCACTGATACTAAAGGTGTTAAAGAGCTGCTGCCTGCAAGGCTCTAAGTGAACTAAGATGATGCTTACTAAATGAATGGAAGTTCACCAGGTTGTGCTGAAGAAGAAACTTGGAGGGGTGGAAATAACAAATGACACTGATGATTAAACCTGAGAGCTACATTATTAAACTGAAAAGGAATAATATTACACACATACAAGTACACAATCTCTGATTTTTGCCTCTTCATGGGTGTTTTTTCTTTCTTTTTTTGCCTCAGTTGCACACTGACTGAGGTCTGTAGAAAATGGTTGTTTCATATGCATAATATACTGCTGTATTGTGATACCACTGAGAATTATTCTTTAAAATTCCTGTAAATCAGCCTTACTGAATCTGAAGCATAAACCTTTTAGCTGCTTATGCATCTGGGGAATATAAATGGCTGCATAATTATTCAGAGCCACAAGAGGCTTCTGTAACAGAAGCTGACGAGGAAATATCTCCAAAATGCTGTCTACCTGTGGTCAGATTTACATGCTGCAACTTCCATGTCAGAAAAAATAACAGCCATTTCTTTTTAAGAACAGGAAATGGATCACTATAGATAATTAGACATAAATTTTGCTTTTATCTGCTATTGGATCTCAGTTTTATGCACAGACAAGTAAAAACGCAGCAGAATATAACTGCAGATGTTTTAATGAGCCAGGTGCTTTTGACAATCAACGAGTGCTGCTTCATGTCACTTATTGCAGGCCATGGCTATTACTGGAGGTACAGTGGAGTCTTTGAATGAAATTCCAGCTCATGTGTGGAAAGATTTGCCTGACTATCTGAATCTGGGGCCTTCTGCTGTAAATCAGAGCCGCATTGGTGAGTAGCCGGTCTCATTTCATAACTGTAACAACTTCTTTTAGGACTGGCAACATGTTGAGTTTCATTTGAATCTCACGGCTATATAACCTTGAAACAGACTTCCAGCAACCAATGATTGTGGAGCAAAGCAAGACCAGGCTGGGCCAGAAAGTGAAACTTGAAAATGATAACTGAATCAGAGCTTAAACAAACATGAAGCGAGTCATCTGAGTCGAAGGCTTTGAGTGTTTTTTCTAACATGCCTCGTGCATGCTTACTCCTTCAAAGAGTCTGTTAGATGCATAAACATCTCGTGGTGCTAAACACCCGTGCTTTACAGCTAGACAGATACATTATATGGACATGCAAACATGCATTAAATCAAGAAGCGTGGGTTGTATTGATCTGTATTTGAAATCAAAGTGAGCAAATGCAATGAAATAATAATGAAGAAACTGATCAAAGAGTGGGGAAAAATCAAAGCAAGGACAAACCAGGATATGATACTGCTCACCTTGATCTCCTATCTGACACAAAATCCACCGGGTTGAAATATAGTTGCATAATTATTGGAACTCCTGCTTCTGCTAACTGATTTATTCTGTGCACAAAGTTAGAATTTAAACATCTAAATCAGTCCTAAAATGACCCCCCCACCCCCAAAACAAAATGACTTCACTGAGGTTTATTACATAGCGTATCATGCCTATCCTTACGATTATCAACACAGACTGTTAAGGTTTACCAAAATATATCAGTTGTGGCTCTATTTTATAAGTGTGCTCACATATTTCCATGCATTATTAATAAATGCATTAATATATAACTCTCAGATGTGGCATGAGTAAGGTGTCTTTGCTTTTTATTTCTTTATTTTTATTATTTTCAGGTGTTTGGGCGACACGAGTCATCCCTAAAGGCAAGAAGCTTGGTCCATTTGTTGGAGAGAAGAAGAAAAGGTCCCAGGTGACCAGCAATGTTTACATGTGGGAGGTATGTTGCAGCCCTCCCCTTGCTCCTTTTTCCCTAAAAATGCGCATAGCCACCTTTTTCTGTGATACTTGCTAATAACGAGCCCAGCTGCATTCTTTATCAAGCAGCAGTAGTTCAAAAGAGTTTAGGAAGTCCTCTGTGTGCCGTGAGCAAGTTAACATAAACATTTGGAGTTTTCCAAGGCACAGAATTAAAAAACTCTTCACTGCATCTCTGTTTCTGTTTCTGATTTAGATTTATTTATTTATTTGCTTTTTAAAACGTCACCTTCCCGCTTGTGTTCTGTAGGTTTATTTCCCAACACGGGGCTGGATGTGTATCGATGCCACAGACCCCATGAAGGGGAACTGGCTGCGATACGTTAACTGGGCCCGCTCCAGTGAAGAGCAGAATCTTTTCCCACTGGAAATCAACAGAGCCATTCACTACAAAGTATTAAGGGTAGGTCAAACACATTCCCGTGTCAGCGCGTTGCATGTGTGACTATGAATGTACTGCTGATTAACATCCTCAGGGTTGGATGGTTTTTCTTAGATGATCTTGAGACACCCGGGAACATTGTTTGTGGCCCTCTTGCTCTCTGCAGAGTTGATGTAACCTGTCACTTAACAGCTGTTGTTAATCATCAACCACAAATATAAGCAAAGGTGTAATTGATTAGCCTCTCTTTGATTAATGATTTTGTGCTGGAGTGTAGTGGCTCACTATGGTGTCTCTCGAGCCGTCTGGATGTTTCCCTGGAGGATTAGAATTAACAGTAAACCCTCCCCCCCCAAACCCTAAACTTAAACTCAGTGTATTTATTTGTTACAGCAACATGAATAAATATATACACATATATATGTATATGTGTATATATATATATATACATATATATATATATATATACACACACACACACGTATGTGTATTTTATTATTACTGATGAATAAGTAATGACAGTCTAATGTAGCACACACTCACTGGACAGTTCAGTAGGTACACCTCATTAGCTGCACATCCATGATGTGAATCTCCCATATCAACACATTCATTGCCCAGGTGCTTTACTGGATTGAGATCTGGTGACTGTGGAGGCTATTTAAGTACAGTGAACTCAATGTAATGTTTAAAAAAAACAAAAAAAACAACAGTCTGAGATGATATGAGCTTTGTAATGAGGGGATCAACCACCAGCAACCATGCCACCTTGAATGACATTTCTTTCCCATTCTTATATTTGATATGAATAATGTCTATATGTCTAATGGGCTTTATTAAAAAGTACTACCTCAGTGAGTAGTATTGGATTGTACAGGTGTACATTTACCATTTAAAGCAAAAGCATTATATTGGTTACCAAACAAAGGGCTCAAATGACGGTAACACCTGTTACCTTCGGAGTTGTCCTCTAAGGTACCCCTTCGAACTATTACAAAAAACTGAATTTGAAAGTTTAGATGTAGTGTGACTTATAAAGCCTTTATAAACCTCATAAAGTGGTAATTAACTGCGTTAATTTTGAAATGACAAAGGTTATATGTTGCATGCTTGTTCCTATTGAGATTATTCTTAAAACACTGTGAAATACCCTAAGCTTTTAGACAGATTAGATGCACAGTAGCCCAAATATCCCCGTTGCCTCTCAGCAAGCCGGTCTGTGATTGGTAGGCGACCTCATCTCTCATTGTTGCAGCCTATCGGGCCGGGAGAGGAGCTGCTGGTGTGGTACACTGTGGAAGACAACCCTGAGATAACAGCTGCACTAGAGGAAGAAAGGGCCAGCAGTCTGAGCAGGAAAAATTCAGCCAGAGCGAGGCGAGGTGAGGCCTTTTACTTCATAACCATGATGACATTTAAGAGCTTTGTTTCTCCCTTGTGGCAGATACGCAAATTAGCCGGGGATTGTTTTACTGTGGAGCCCAGCCGAAGTTGTAAGTGGCGAGCTAGCGAGCTACAAATGAAGGAAGGCTAGTGGAAGCTAACGTTAACGGTCGCGATGTGCGGGGCTTTTCTTTACTTTCGTATCAGACTTTACGTTCGCCCATAGCGGCTGATTTGGCTCTAAACGCCGACCAAGTGGCTATACACGGTCCGTGAGATGACTTGTTTAGCTTTCAAGCGAGACTCCGAGCAACTTTTTTAGCAGCTTTTCCTCATCTGGGTCCTGACGTTGTCGAGGATGTGACCTTCCTTGAGTTCCTAAAGCGTGAAAGCCATCCATCGGCGAGCCTCTCGTCTTGATGATGGCCTATAGCAGGTTAGCTAACTAGCCAGCTTCCTTATCCAAGCAGAGGCTGATCGAGGGGCCCATCTAAGGAAAGGGTAAGAAGCTGAAATATCGCGGTTGTATTTTTGCATGTAGTGTTTGAAATCGGGCGATACATCGCTGGGGTCCAGAATAACCAGTTCATCGAGTTGTCATACTTGGTGTTCTGTGCTAGCAGTAAGCTAAAGGGCTAGGTGTGATCGCACGGACATCTCGGTGTGCAGAAAAAGAAGGGAAACTGTGTGTGTGTGTGTGTGTGTGTGTGTGTAGGGTAATTTTATTATTAAAAACTCATCGCTGGCGGTGAATACACAGGCATCCACTATGTAAAAGGTCGAGGCAGTGTTATATTCCGGGTTGGCAAACAGAAACTTTCCGTGACACAACATCAAAACAAAACCAAAGAGTAGCAGCACACAAAACTGCTTCTGTGCCTTCTCCCCCTTCTCTCCTCACTTACTTTGAAATAAATAGCGTATAAAAACGTGAAAGTAAGCACTAGTACCATCAGCACAGCTGATAAATTCCAAGAAACGGTAACCGTGGCTGTTGTGTTGTGTGCCACATTTCCATTTACCAGCATGAACTTTGAACATGTTATTTCCATAAAAGACAGCAAGCTCTCACCTTGTCATGAGATGTCATCAATACATGACTACAAAAAATAATGCAAAATGATTAAAAATATGCTGTGTGCAATGTCAAAAATTGGTCAGTGCGGACTGTTTTGCTTTATATTCTGCTGTAAATGTACAATATTACAAGAGTACAGTGCAGTATAATGGAGTACATCTGCCCACATTTGATATATAGTCTTATAAATGACTTGACTTGCTATTAACATGCAATTAATTAGCTACATTCAGCAGACAGAAACACAAATCCTTCATTATAACATCAGAAAAAAATTTATCTGAGGATTGGGAGCTATACAACTCTACAGGCAGTATGCTGTGACCCCTAATGCCAGTGTACTGTGAAGTGAACCTCAGTAAATTAACCATCCTGCCTTTGGATCAGCAATGATCCATATTCCCTAACCTGTGTGTGGTGTACTTGTAGAGTGACTGCTGGATTAAAAAAAAAGGTTTACACAAATGTACACAAAAATAAATTGTACAAAAGTGGGCAGTGGTGCAGCTGCTGTGGATTTGGCAGAATGGCTCTGGCCCTGCTGGTCAGATGCCTGACCTGCAGCATGTGTTTCTCTGCTATGAACTGGGCTTTGAAGGCCAGGTCAGATGGCCTTTTGACTCATTTCAGTGACAAGGAGGTGCAGGGGAGACTCCTGAGTCAAACTAGACATAGGCATTCAAAATATGTCCTATTGGGCTTAGTGTGAGCCTCAATCATTAGGTAATTGTCACATTTAAATGACTGATGCATATGAGCTCATAATTGGAATACAATTTAAGTGTGCTTAAGTGTAATCTGCATGCTTATCATGCCTGTAAATTATAGTGTGTACAAACTGAAAGATTTGCTGTACAGAACTGAGCAATCGCTGGGGAAATATTTGAGCTGACTTTGGTGTAGAACTTAAAGTCAGTTAAAGTAATCTGGCAGCAATAAAAAAATATCAAGAGGAAAGGATATTACAAGATACTAAGATAACTTTTCTTGACTAAAGTGTGTGATCAGTGATTGAGCTTTATACAAAGTGATGTGTGTGTGTTTGTACTTGCAGCCAGAAGAAAGCTGCTGGAGAAAGCCAGACAGGCTGGTTTGGGTGGATTCAAGAAAACGAGTGGAACCAAACCTACTGTCAAGGAGATGTGGGATGGGGAAGGAGGTAAGTTTCCTTATTGTGAAGTAGTTGATTTAAACAATTTTATTTTATTTATTTTATTAACTGCTACCTGTGTGTTGCAACTACTTAAAACATTTGATTAATTTTGATATGTTTTGCAGGAGTGAAGGGGACGGAGAAGGATGGGACGCCGTTATCCGTGCAGGAAATCAAGACGGCGCATTCACTGGGAAGCACTGACCATAAAGATGTACAGGACATGTCAACAGCATTAACAGACAGAGGAGACTTGGAGGAGGATGAAGAGGACGATGAAGTAGAAGAAGAAGGAGAGGAGGAAGAGGAGGAGGATGGTGATGATGTGGAAGACTCAGAAGCTCCTCTGCATTTAACTGTCACTGATTCCATGTTAAACAAACTAGCATGCCCCGAAGAAAGCCACGGGGATGCACAGGTAAAGTCTGAGTCTTCCTCCCTAGCTGGACGAGAGCCAGAGGTTGATCCCGATCTTGACCCTGATGGTGACCTTGAGGGTGATCCACAAGGAGAGCCCTATCCCTGTCAGCACTGTGAGCGCCACTTTGCCACCAGACAGGGCCTGGAGCGTCACATACACATTCACGCCATGAGCAACCAGCAAGCACAACTTTTCAAGTGCCGCTACTGCAATAAATCCTTTGGCTCACAGGTGGGGCGGCGGCGGCACGAGAGACGGCATGAGAGCGGCTCTAAGAAAAGGCCCGGCTATCTGGCTGGACCTGCCAGTCCTGTGGTGCAGACAGATTCAAGCCCTGACTGCACCAGCCCAACTACTCACTATATAGCCACAGGATCCCAGTTTACAGGAGGACAGCTGCACAACTCTGATATGCAGAGAAAGGAGTTGGGGCCTCAAGTTGACCGTCCCTTTATGTTGGATGAAAACGGGGAGTCAAAAGAACTCCACCCCTGCAAGTACTGCAATAAAGCCTTTGGCACACACACTAACATGCGCAGACACCAACGCAGAATACACGAACGACACTTGTTACCAAAAGGAGTTCGAAGGAAAGCTATGCTGCAGCAAGAGGCAGCGCGGCAGCCTGACGGGTCCCCCAGCATGAGCCCTCCTACCGTCTACGTTCCTAGTGCAGACACGGAAGACGAGGCAGACAGGGACGATTACGCGGTTGACATATCCAAAAACATCTCTGAGAATTTGAGCTTCTACATTGATGGCAAGATCGTGTCCACGAGCGCAGTGAGTACTTGTGAAGTGATAGAAGTGGACTCGAGATCTGCAGCTCTGTTTGGTCTGGACACCGTCATCCTCAACCCAACTCAGATCAGTCAAGCGCTGAAGGTGGAGACTAGAACAACTAACACAAAGCAAACCTCCAACACTGGACAGCCAGCAGCTAAAAGGAGAACATCTACACCCCCCCTTATTCCCAGCCTTAAAGTGGAGACGGAAACTTCAGCATCATCTTCATCATCGTCTTCCACATCTTCCTCATCCAACTTGTTAGTGGGAGGTCTGTTTCAACAGGCCACTGATTCATCGGCTTTTCAGCGAGAGAAAAACGTTTACCTCTCGCCGAAACTCAAACAGCTTCTTCAGGCGCAAGACATCCAGAAATCAACCGTAACTCTGATAACAGACAGCCATAAGCTAGCCTCGCAGCTGTCCGTCATGCCGCTGCAAGGGTCTTCAGGGAAGTTTAAAAGAAGAACGGCTTCTCCTCCGTCGTCGTCTCCACAGCTCAGCCCTGCAAGTAAAAATGAGAGCGGTAAAGGTGAAGTGGCAAGCTTATACACTCTTAAGGTACCGAAGCTGGAAAGCCAGACCGCATCACCTTCTGAGAGCCTGATGGACAAAGATGACAGGGAAACTCTGAGCCCTTCTGGAAATGCCACCCATAACCAACCTTCCTCTAGTAGCGGAGGAAATTCCTGTAATCAGCAGCCCTTGGATTTGTCAAACTCTGTCAGCAAGAAGAGTGAGAATTTGAACAAAGTGCTCGGGGATTCGGCTCTTGATTTAAGCTTCCATCGGAAGACCACAGGTGAGCCCGAATCAAAGGGGAATGCAGCACCACAGCCACTAACCAAAAAGAGAAAGCCTAACACCAGCATGCTTGCAAAGGTGCTAATGAACGAGTATGCTGGTCTAAATTTGCCGGGAGATGAGGGTCCCTCGACTCTGGCGAACATAAATTCTTTCCCTTCTCACTCTCCTAATGTTGCATCCGATTCAGCCAACCCCTCTCCGCCATCTTTGACCCCCATGACCATGACTCCCTCTTCACCCGGGACTTCTAGTGTCACATCCCCGACGCCACCCCCGCCTGTACTACCCACCATACCCTCTCCGCCAGCCATGCCTAGTTCTCCTCTCTCTCAGCCTTCGGACTCATCCTTGCTGAGGCCTCTGCCTGTGCTCTCACCAAAAATGTCTCCGAGATCAATTGAAGAGAAATCCCACTTGGAGGAGGAGAGCTTCTCAGCTGAGGAAAACAAAGATGAGGAGGAGAAGCACATCTCTGAGCTGTTGGATTCCCCAGATACTTCACTTAAAGGTCCCTCAAATGGCTCAAGTACACCGAGCCCTCCAGAAGCAGAATCAGTCGATATGCCCACTACAGAGGATGATGTATCGCAAACTGGAACTTCCAACAGTCTGCCTAATGGTAATCAGAACCATGACACTGTCTCTGAAACTGAGAAACCGGACTTTGCTGCTATGTCGTCCCAACCAGAATCCTCATCCTCTTCAAAAGCTCCTTCTGACTCACATGATTCATCCTCATCACAAGCTTCGCAGTCTCCCCATCCGATTACAATAAAAGAAGAACCTGAGCACTGTATAGATGAGATATTGGGTACTAGTCATGCCTCTCCGTGTGGCTTTGACTCTTCTCCTCAGCCTGCTGCTGCTCTCCCTGCTGCCCCTGAACCGACTGATAAAACTGCTGAGCCCGAGGAAATTGACATGACGTACTGCAAGACTTTTGTATGTAATGTGTGTGAAAAGCCGTTTGGCTCTATCAAAGAGCTCAGCGGACATATCGTAGAGCACGCCGCAGACTGGCCGTTCAAGTGCGAGTTTTGCGTCCAGCTGTTTGGTGACGCTCCAGCCCTGCTTGCTCATCGGACGACACTACATGGAGTGGGCCAGATCTTTGTGTGCTCAATTTGTTCCAAAGAGTTTGCCTTTCTCTGTAACCTCCAGCAGCATCAGAAGGATCTGCATCCAAATGAAGCATGCTCACATACTACTGTAGAGAGTGGGAAACTTAGGCCACAGAATTATACCGATCCTTCCAGAGCCAAAGAGGAAAGCAGTCCCTCAACACCAGCGCTTGAGATGGCTGATGAAAATGCGCCACCCAGCGACTCTCATTTACTAAAAGAAGAGCCAGATGTTAATGGAAATCATACAGAGGAGGGGGCAGAGGACCCCAATGAGGAGCTGTACACTACAATAAAGATCATGGCATCAGAAGGAGGGAAGCCTAAAGGTCCTGATGTCCGCCTTGGCATTAATCAGCACTACCCCAGTTATAAACCACCCCCATTTCCTTATCATAGCCGTTCCCATGCTGGCTCTGTGGCCTCGGCTACAAACTTCACCACCCACAACATACCACAGACTTTTAGCACTGCCATTCGCTGCACCAAGTGTGGCAACAGCTTTGACAACATGCCCGAACTGCACCAACACATACTGGTCTGTGCCAGCGCCAGTGATAAAAAGCGTTACACTCCCAAGAAAAACCCCATCCCTCTCAAGCAAATAGTGAAGAGTCCAAACGGAGTGGCGTCCCCCACAGCAGCCGCTGCAGGCCAGAGTGCTTTCCGTAGAATGGGTCAGCCAAAGAGACTAAACTTTAATCAAGACACTGGCAAAACAAAAATGAGTGCCCTGAGCAAGAAGAAACACGAGCTGGTGCAGAAGGCAATTTCGCAGAAAAATAAAACCGCCACGAATGCAAAGAAGGCTGCCATCAAAGTGGAAGAAGAGCACACCTCTAATGTCTGCCCCCACTGCAGTCGTGTGTTTACTTATACCGCGAGTCTGACTAAGCACATGGCAGTCAGCTGCCCCATGAAGCCTGTCGTTGTTAAAAAGGGCAAAAGAGGTCTCGCGGAGGTGAAAAAAGAGCCAGGGTCTGTGGCAGATAAAAACACGAGTCTGAGGAAAAAAGCATCTGACGGTGAAGCACACGCAGACACTGAATCTAAACCTTTGGGAAAGACCAGGGCTCGTAGCTCCGGTGGTGCAGACCCCGAACGTCTCCAGGCAAGAAAAGGGAAAACCCCTGCCGCAGTGGGCCGACCAAAGAGGCCCGCCTCCTTCCCAGCTCTGGTTCCTGCAAGCAAAAGAACTAAAAAGGGCCAAGTTCAGTATTTACCTCCCACCCCTTCAGCCGTGGACACTCCTAGCGAGGCTTCACAACGGCCAGCCATGAGAATGCAGCGTATGGGCAAAGAGGCAGCACCCAAGAGATTAACGGAGGCCAAGTCATCATCATCATCACCGCCATCAACAACTCAGCAGCAGCAGCAACAACAAGTGAAGAAGGAGGAGCGGTTCTCTCTTCGAACACGGGAGAGAGTTGGTGGTCCCGTCACCAGGAGCTTACAGATGGCCAGCACAGCTCCTGCTGCTGAGCCGAAGACCGATGAACCACCAATTCAAGAGCCAAAAGACACTCAGGTGAGTTATCTGTTGGCTTACTGCAGTCACACTGATTATCATACTGATGTCATGTTTGTTTGTCATGTTTTTGAAGCAATTCAAATAACTGACCAATCATTGTGCTGCTTCTGTTTGTTCCCCCCCCCCCCCCCCCAAAAAGGAGGTGGCGATGAAGTGAGCCATGTGACATTATTGAGCTCCCTCTGTTCACCTATCAGGTAGCACTCTGGAGTCATCGTGTAACCGAGGACGCCCTTTGTGACGTTTTGCTCAGTTGTTTTTGGCTTTTTTCCTACTCGAAACATGTCAAGTCTGCTTATCTCAACTGCCTTGCTGGATTTAAGGAGGGAACTCTTTATCTTCCATCCATCTTATGAACTGAACTGAGCCTCGATTTCTAGCCAGCCTTGCAAAAACAACAACAAAAAAAAAAAAACAAACACAAAAAAAGGAAACTGTAAATGACAGTGAATTAATATATTCAATGTGTGTCCTTACTTGACCCAAAACAGTAAGATTAGGGCTCCGTTATTTTTGGAAAGCTGACATATTGCAAATGGCAATCATGTATCAGTTAGTGTTAGGGAAACTTGTTTATTATTATTATTTTTTCCCCCCTTTTAGGTCTTTTTTTAAATTTTTTTTTATTTGTTTGTTTGTTTTATTTGGATGTCTCCAGAGTCTCTTAATGCATGAGCTGTATAGAGTTAAAAACTAGATTAAACCCGTGCCTCTCCTTGTGGGCACCTACTTCAGTTTATACATGATTTGCAAAGTATGTACGTTCGAATTTCCTTTTTTTGTAGTCTTTATATTGTAGAATATATCTTATTTGTTTGGGAAACAAAAATGAAAAAGGGCAGTACAGTTTACTGCAACAATTGGTCCTCAGGAACACTGTATATGCGTGTGGTAAGTATGTATATGGTTACAGTTGGATGACAGCTCTTCCTTAGGTTTAAATCTCATGCCAAGTGTCATGTTTTGTTTTTTTTTAAACTTGCTTTCTTTTTTGTTCATCTGGTGTTAGCAGGTGATTCCCGTTGTAAAAATGTGATGGGACTGATGTCTCCTCTTTAAAAAATAAATAAATAATGAAAATAATTTTGATATCACGCATTAAGCCCAGTGTTCTTACAGCACTTTAAAACAAACTGCCAAAATTTCAAGCTGGATCAGAAAGCCTATTTATAAGAAACATGCGCGTCATGGAATGTATTCAGGTCTGCTGATAATTTGCCCCAACGGGCAGAAAATTATTCTTCCAATCTCAGATATTTACCTTTTTTTTTTTTTTTTTGCAAAGACATCTGCAAACTATTTGTTATCTTTAAGAAGTTTGATAATTCCCTAAATGCCAAAATGCATGATACACTTCTTTTTTTGTAAGCAAACGTATATAAAGTCGCTTCTTGTGTTCTTTCTCACGCGAAAGCCACAGAAGTGCAGCCGAATTTTTTTTTTTTTTTTTTTTTGAGGAATGTGCCATTTCTGTTTCAGTGAATTCATGTGTACTTCATGAAAACCTCATCAAGGCCCTGCAAGTGAAAACTTTTTGTTTCTGCAGTGTTCGACCCACCTTTCCCACTCGCATCCAGTTATCCGACGGCAAACACGCAGGCAGTGCTTAAACGCTCGTAGCATGTTCTGGGAAAGTAAATTGAACAATATGATTAAAAGCTAATTTATATTTCCATGAGAAATCTTCATGCTTTGCCTTTCAGTCTCATGAATTATGTATTTAAGGATGAACAAAGACAAAAATCCCAAATGACCTCATGTAAAACGTTGCTGTAATTGACATAATTAAAATAAGTTTTTCAATTTGTGTAAAGCTTTATTTGTTCTTTTGCTTGTGGGACTCTCAGTTATACGCAGATTTTTGAGATTTGGGCATAGAGGACTGGGAATCTTTTGTTGTTGTTATTGGCAGCACTGGGCTTGATTTAAAATATGTACTTGTGCATTATCATGGTATCGTACTGATATAAAAAATCAATTGGTGAATGTAGACAGAAAGGATTGATTAATTGGTCTGACTCCTTTTATATACTGAGACCTTTTTCTTTCTTTTTTTTCAAACATAATAGATGTCCCTGCCATTGGAGCTGTAATAAAGTCTTTCACATTACATTTACTGATTACCTTCTCCACTAAGAGTTTGGCAGGGACTTCACCCAATTATGAAAAATGAATTTTAGTTTTCATTGTATTTGACTTTGATAGAAGGTAAGAAATCTTGCATAAATCATGTGAAGTCGCTGCCTTTGCTTCACGGGTTGGCAGACTACGACTGGGACAGGGGACCCGGGGACCCCGTCAGCTGGTTCCTGCAAGATTTGTATCTATTTTGGGAGCAGTTTGCTAGTCAGGTGGCTGATATGCGAGTCGTGCATTACCTTAAACTCTTGCCTCTGTGGTGTGGGTCAGAATAGAAATGGGAAGCAAATTGTGTAATAGATATATGAGTCAAAGCCCTATTGGACACAGTACGCATCAGATATGGCTGTTTTGTTTATGGACTTTGAAAATAAGTAGTTTAGAACTTAATCCTATAAAATATAAAGTGTAGTGTAATTTAAGTCAGTTTTGACTGTCCTCCATCCAGGTGTGCATTAATATATTCTGAATAGTCACTGATAAGTAACAGTCATAAATCCTTACAGGGCTCATGCACGGGCAGTGAAACAAAACTAGTGTGCACACGAACTATGATGAATAATTCAGTGTTGTGCATATTTGTGATATTTCTGTCACTCGCACACTGCTGCTTCTTATTTACGAATAGTGTCTGTTACATGGCAATAATTATCGCAATAAGTAAACACAAATATTTAATCAGCCAATCACAGGGCAGCAACTCAGTGCATTTAGGCACACAGACGTGGTCAAGACGACCTGCTGAAGTTCAAACTGAGCATGAGAACGGAGCTGAAGTTGATTTAAGTGGCTTTGAGTGTGCTGTGGTTGTTGGTGTCAGATGAGCTGGTGTGAGTATTTCAGAAACTGCTGGGGTTTTTTCCCACACAACCATCTCTGGGGTTTACAGAGAGTGATCCAACAAAGAGGAGATGTCAAGTGAGCTGCAGTTTTTTGGGTGAAAATTACTTGTTGATGTCAAAGGTTGAAGGAGAATGGCCAGACTGCTTCAAGCTGTGAAGATGACAGTGGTAACTCACATAACCACTTGTTACAGCCAATGCATGCACAAAAACATCTCTGAAATCAAAGCTTCTCAGAACCTCTCAGGATGGATCTGTAGCTATGAATATCTTTCAAGGTCTCATCTGGCTTGTGTGCATCTGATGAGCTCAGTTTTTGACAGACCTCATCCGTCTCACTTATGTAGCCCAGTACCTAAAAACCTAACGAACTATCAATGCCGGCCAACGGAGAGTGCGCTCCAAATCTTCACCAGAGCACTGTGGCGTGGACCAGATCCTCACAGAAGACATCCTGATGGATGAGATTATAAATTAAATGTAATCTGTTTGTTGGATTTGATCCACAGGCTGCATCCCTTTATTCAGAGGGATGTGGAGACGTGTTTATTTGCCCCAGTGCCATGATGGTATACTTTATGGCTGGATGTAGTTTATGTGAGTGTGTGTGTGTATGTGTGTGTGGAGGGGTGGGCACTTGGAGGAGTGCCGCACCATACTCATGCTGTCAGGGTGAAATATCGCTGCACTCTCTCTTGATTGCTGTGTACGGTGCTTCAGCCCTATTCATAAAAATGCAATTCCATGCAGTACTGTGCCTGACTTGACAAAATAAACTACGACATTCCAGAGAGGCAGATTTAAGATGTAAAAGAGTGGAGCGATTACCCATCTCAACCTCTCAATTACACCATGCATACAATTCAGGACAAGCATGTAATTTCAAATAAATAAAGAAATGGCATCAGCATCAAATAAAATACAATATTTCAGTTCACATCGTGATAAATATTGTTGTCAGTGAAAACTACAATCTGGAGTTGTGAGGAGATGTCTTTGTGTGGAGACGCCAATGGAGAGCAACAGAGTCAAGTTATGAAAAGTTAGCCCTCTTCCAGCTGATCAAAAGACAGACTTTTTTTTTTTGTTGTAGCTATGAGATAAGCAAGTGTAATATTTGCTTAAATATACAAGTCTTTGTGCTCTGCAGTCTTAGCTGAGTGTCATGACATGCTACGATTCAGCTGTCAGTGCAGTGGTAGGAATGTTGTTATTGTTGCGCTGGGAAGAGTTTGAAATTTTGACCTAATGCTGGGAGAGTCGGAGATTCCCCCTGAGGGAGGCATAAACGTCTGTGCAAATATTTCAGCCTGGACCAGCGTGGCGGATGGATCGAACAACATGCTGACGCGAGCAAACCGCAGAACCACTAGCACGGCTGAAAATGTCAAAGAGATAAGACTGAAAGTCTGAAAAGATGCAAACTTCCATTGCATGTACACACACACACACACACACACACACACACACAGAGCAATAACTTTGCCAAAGCGATTCCTGTAAGGCAAACAATGCTAAAAATAAACATCTGTGGCTCAGAGCGTGGACAGATCGATATTCTGATCATTTCAATGTTCATGTAAACTGGTAATTATTTTCATTAATGATATCTTAAAGCTAATGAGTTTTAATAAATTAAATAGATTTAAAGTAATAAGATCAAGCTTCACTAATGCGAGATGTTTACTTCTTTATCTACCACAACATATAGTTGAACATTAAAAATCTGGATTAGACTGGATTAAAATAAAATATACACTTATTTGTCCCCAGGAGAAAGAAAATTGCCAGTAACAGGATACATAGTGGAAGGGAATGACAGCTGCTCATACACAATGATTTACAGCCTCCTAAAAAACCTCACTATGCCTCTATTTCCTGTTCAAAGAGAATAGCATTAAAGCTGATGAAGGTGGAGAGGAGATGTATTCTGCAGGGCATTAGTCTCTCTGACTTGAAAGTGAAGGCGTGCCTGGCTTATTCTCACTGTTTATGAAATGCCAGGCTTCACTTTGACCTCAGCATTTTGCAGATTTTTAGTTGGGTTTGCACGCGCCCACATGCTGTTTGCAGCTACCTAACCCTTTTCCAAGCTACAAACTTACTATCACTTGCTTACAGGCTTTCAGTGCAGGACATTTTCTTCTTCTTCTTCTTCTACTTTTTTTTTACTTGCAGTAGCACCTGCTTAAACCGGCCCACTGCAGTCAACTGAGGTTCCTGTCATTTCCTTTCAAAACAGGAGGATGTGATGTGAGGATGTGAGTGCTGTGGTCAGGTCCCCGGTGAGCTCTCCTTGCAGAGCAATGGCGTGAGAGATGGCTCCATGACAATGCTGCTTCCTGGCAAAGTAGATTTTTTTTTTCCTGTACCTGGGAGGAAATTGACTGCTTAACACCGGTTTACAGGCTGCAGAGAGGTTAGACATTGCAAAAATGGCCTGAGTGCGATAATGTGCTGGAACCACTGTGCTGGTCTCGTCTGTAGTGGAGGTCTCCATGCCAACCGCTGCACACTGGGTACAATACAACTGTGCCTCCAAGGTCTGGGAGGGTATTTTAAGATCTCGTAACATATGCTCATTTTGTTCCTGTGGTGTTGTTAATATTTATTACGACACCTTCATTTAGCCCTTTGCTGCGGCGTGAAGATTTCAGACAGCCTCATTTTTCACTTCTCCACCAGAGCTGCTGCACTACACATCGAGGCAAGTGTAAGTTTACAGGAGTTACATTTTCGGTAGAGTAGGAGCTGATTTTTATTTTATACTCAGCAGTTTTCTCCAATTCCTTTTCAAGATGAAGCCTCTGGAAACTGTACCAGCCCTACTTTTCGCTTTTTATACAACCTCTCCACTTTCTCATCCTCCTTTTTTTTTTTCTTTCTTCTCCCTCAGCACCGGGGGAAGATGAAGCACTCGAGTTTGCTAGAATCTGTTTCCCAGCAGCGGCCCGAGCTTTAAGATGGATCGAGGGGATTTGCATGGGGCGGGGTGGAGAGTTAGTAAGACATGTGAAAGAGAACAGGAGAAATGTTACTGCTGAGGCGCAGCAAATGAGGGCTGTAGAGAAGAGAGGAGAGGAGGGGTAGGAGGAGTGAAAAGGGGGCACACTCACGCAGATCAGAAAACAACGGTCCTGTCCTATGCCCAGAGGACAGACGCTGCCATCTACTTAAGCTGAGAGTGAGAGGGGAAGAGGGAGGATTGACTTTTACCTGATGTAGAAGCTGCACTCACCCCTCGCCACCCCTCTCTTCTATCCAGCCTGTCTGGAGCCGCAGAGGACTGTCAGCCCGTACAGACGAAGCACAAGATCAGAGTGCTGGCAGAGCAAGTGTGCCTACAGCTCTGCGTTACCTGCTTTACCACCCTGAAATCGCTCTCTCGCCCCACATGCACACATTCACAGAACTTTCTCTCGTGCGCGAACACTTACATGCTGACAAGCAGGCAGGCAGGCACACACACACATACACTCCCCCCCTCCCATTATTATCTGTGCGGCGAGCAGTTCTGCTCATTTTGGTGCGAGCAGCGAGGGGCTGCATTTTGCTCCTCAGCAGCAGCAGCAGCAGCAGCAACAACAACACAGGACGGGTCCAGAGAAGAGCAGTCACCACCAGAGATCAGTCAGCAGCTGCTCCAACTGAAGGCAAGCCCTTGTCTCTTGTTCTCCTCATTCATTTTCCTTCTTTTTCCCATCTGAATGTGACGCAGTGATGCTGACCTTCCCTTTCCCCATTCTCTCCCCCCACTCTCTTTCGCCTCAGCAGCGTGTGTCAGTGGGACAGCCATGGAGGACACCCTCACCTGCAGCCATGCCACTTTCTCCCAGGTGTTTGGACGCCAGGGACAGCTCATGCAAGCCAGTGAGTTTCACTCTCTCCATATCCCCCCCCCCCCCAAAAAAAATCTTTAATCACATGCATGCCTTACATCCACCCTCAGCAATTCCACACAATCGCATCCTGAGTCTTACTGCTGTTTTAATTCATCTGAGCCTTGGAGGCGCATCAATGAGATTGCATTATCATGGCTTAAATCATGCACAAAGCAGAGAGTTTTCAAAGAGATGACAGGAAAACAAAACTGGGTTATCTTTTCACACGTTACGGTGATGTTAAAGGAAAGAAGCAATCTTATATTTTTCCTTTTTTTTTTCATCCTTGACAAACTGTGTGACTGTCATTGTGGTGCTGCCCAAGTTTCTGAGCAGCAGGATTAACTTGTGCAGCACTTGTGTTATAAGGAGGTGGCTTCAAAAGCTTTTTGGACAGCATGCGGGATTAACCCGGGACTGTGGCTCAGCTGTGTTGGGAGTTACACTTTGCTAAAAGAGCGCTTTAGAGGTACTTGAACACAAAGAGAAACTGGAAACTGACAGCTTTCTTTACAGACCAGGTGTGCTGGCTAATATTTCTGTATGTTTTTAGTAATTTCTGCAGTCTTAAGTAGCAGATCTGAATGTATACTTTGCAGCACAGTGTTATTCACAGTATGATTGAAACTGAATTTGTCAGGGTGAGACACTATTTGAGGAGCTTTCATAGTTCAGACTGATAGCTAAATTATTAAAAAGGGAATCTATCAAGATTTTCAGGGGTGCAGACACACCGAACACAACCTTGGAGCGCTGCTTATAAAGCATGCTCAAGTAATATCTTATTATGCAACAAACATGGTCAGAATACATATTTCCCCCAAGAGGAAAAATAGAGCAGAGATCGACTTGTCTCCACAATCAAAGTGTCAGCTGCATCCTCCCATAACTGGCCTGGTATTTCTCCTCATGGAGTCATGCAGCGAGAACTTAGTCAACGCCTTTGATGCCTTCGCTCGGCCTTAAATGCATAGCGATTCTTCACACGGTGTTATGAAGGATAATGAGGAGAGCCCGGGTGGATTTCAAAACAGATGTGCCTTTATACTACGTATCGGGTTTGTCACATCAATTTTAAATGCCTTTGTTTCTCGTCATTACCACCTGCAGAGAGGGGCGTCTGATTAGAGTTTCAAAGCAAGTGTTATTAACACGAGCGCAGCTAAGACAGCACTTAGTGGAGCTAATAATGGAAACACATCAGTCATTTCCCTGTGCTGTAAAATTCATGCTTCTTGACACGTGTTACTTAGCAAGGCTGTGTTGCAGGAGTTCATCTGCTGGGATTTTTGAATCATGGAGTTATTTGGGAAGATAGATATGCAGATGTGGTGCAGTGAATTGTAGTTGTCTTTACACGAGAGCACTCTTTTATAAATAATGCAATTTGTTTGAATGCATCCGCGGGCTTGCGTTGATAAGAGCATATTACTGGTGAAGGGGTTGCAGGGTTTTGATTAAAATTTAGCTTCAGACAGGCAGGAGGCTGAAAGCATCTTCACTAAATGAGTGTCTTTAAGAGCTGCTGAGCTGCTGGTCGTCTCTCTGGTTTCAGGTTTTTATGGCAAGCAGAGAATGCACTGGATTAGTGTGCAAACAGTGCACACAAAACGCCGGATAAGTCCAACATATAATGACAGCTACATGTGTATGCAGATGCAAATGTATGCAGAATACAAATGCTTCATAGCCCTGAATCAGTAGATTATCTGGAGGGCATCTCAGTATAAAAGGATGTAAACAAGGAGAGGGTGTGTCAGTGCTTATCACATTGGATCATGGATGGTAGCAAGGCAAGGCAAGCCTTCACAATAAAATTCAGTATTTCTTTTCATCATCAGCATACACAGTGGAAAAATTGAATGATAAATAGCAGATTATATTGTGTTGTAGCACATGGCGGTGGATCTCAGCCTTGTTATCATGCAGCATATAGAAAGCCAATTTATTAGCATGTAATCTGCCAAAGCCTTCGCATACACTGGCTGGCATGCAAAGATTTAAAAAGATGAAATGTTTTTGATGTACTTTTTTCTCAAATATTACTTCACTATTAACAATTTACTAGTGACTCGTGAATTACTAATCATTCAAGACCTCTCCATGAATAGTTACTTTTTTCTGCTTATTAACAAAGGTCCGCCACAGCAGGTAGCACCACCTGTTTGTTTTGGCAGATTATTATTTTTCTTATGCTCGATGCCCTTCCTGATGCAACCCCAAAGGGATTTGTGTCACCTCCCAGGATTTAACGGAGATCTGTGACTTGCTAGTTAAATGTGTAAACCACTTCACTATGAATATATAAAGAAAGACGAGAAATTCAGATTTTTAACACTATCACACAATGTGGAAACACTGATTGATGGGATATTTCATCATTTGGAGGGATAGTGTTAACTTTTTGAGCATCTTAAAACTTTGAATCATTAAGATTCGTAAGGCAGGTCAAGATTTGGCATTAGATACTTTCAGATAAGAGCTCATAAACACTCTGTAAACCTGAAAAGCCCAGAAACGCTCAGCAACCTTTCCATATAAAAATGCAGCTTCTCGGCGGCCACTGGCTATAAAGGCTATAAAAAAGATATCAAAGTACCTCCAGCCTGCAATTTCCACTGCCTGAAATGCCATTAATGCATGTGAAAGTCACAATGTGGATTTGAAAGAACAAGAAGACTTCACGTCTGCTGGGCAGAAAATAGAAGCCACCCGTGAGTGTGAAGCAGCTGTACGAAGGTTTAGCTGACGCAGCAGCGTCGTTGTATCATTCCACTGTGCAGGGTTGATGCACAAACATCAGAGAGGGAAATGCTACCTACATCCTCATCACGGAAATCAAATGCGGAAATCTGTAAAGCAAAATTATTTGGAAGCAACTTTTGTGGACAATTATAATTAAAACTGTGGCGACGATCACCAAAGGTTTGCTCAGAGAGAAAAGATGAAGATGCCAATTAATAATTATGGGGTTGGAAACAATTAGAAGCACATTGCAGTGACATAGCAACACATTTTCCTGATAAATATCATGCAGTTTCATAAATATTACAAAAGATGGATGTAGTCACTTTGACGTCAGGCATTTTGAAGCTTCAGGTTTTGTGATGTCAGAGGTCACCTTATACACACGAAATGGTGGAGTGCGAAGTTGTCAGCATTTATAACAAGCTTCCCTAGGTTTTCCCTTTGCTGCAAGCAGAGACTTTTAACAGCTCTCACACATCCCTACTTGAACATCGCTAAAAATTTGTGGTTACAGCTCAACATGTTACACAGGGTGTTCTCATCATGTACTATTTTTCTTAAATGAAGGCACAAATATTTGAAGAAAGGACGATCTTTAACATCTGCTATACAGGCTATATTTGCTTCTTTTCACCTCAAAAATCAGCTAATCTCTCATAGCGTGAGCCATATTCTCTTTCTAGTTGATGTTATTTTAATACTGTGACCTGAACAGACGCCACACACACCCAGAAATATCTTCTTTCTTCTTCTTTCTTTGTTTCCTGTCTCAGTTTCACTCAGCTAATTTTGTTTGACCATGAGAAGTCTCACGAGTTTAGTATGATGTGTTTCCACTATCCAGTTCTACTTGATTGGGCTTCAATGAATGGGTTAACTGTCAGTCTGGGTATAATTACAGATTAGATTAGAGACTAATCTAACAGATATGCAAATCACAGTTCCAGGCTGTTGTCTTGTGTTGTAATGAGCTGGATTTGGTTAAACGCATAGTGATTTTTTTCATAGAAAAAAAAAAAGATAAAATGACATCCAGTGAGAAAACACTTTTTGGATGACGAACAAGAGCTGTTAGTATACAAGTACAGCAGGATTGTAAAATTAGGTGTTTTATAATTTGCGTCATTATGAGATAAAAGTCTCTCCTCCTCTGCAGATCAGCAGAAGTGTGAAGTGCAGACAACATGTAAAACTGCAGCAAGTCTGTCTTTTTGTTCCAACAGCATTTTTTCCACTTGTGCTTCTAGGTAGAGCGTTAACTTTTCCCTGAATAAATGACAAGTGAAGCCTCTGTTTCTCAGAGCTGCATGCATTATTCACTACATTCTTAACCTATTTGTGTTGCCTTTTCACTCTCCTTTCCCTCCCCCCCCATTTTTGCTTTTACAACATTGCTTCCAAAGTTGTGGACACAGTGGGGAATTAAAAAGATGACGCAGCAATCGGCGAATTGTTTAAACCCCATTTTTGCCTGAAAATGGCACATAAACCTTTGACATCGAAGCTTATTTGATTATTTTATAAAAACTACTGGTGGATTCTGAATCGATCGAATTAGCAACAAGACATTTAAAAATGACAGGAGCAGGTTTACCACCGTGTTGCATCATTTCTTCTTGTAGTAACACTCGCCATTAAATGCCTTTGCATCTGGGAACTGGAGAAATCAGTCGGCCTAGTTTGGAAAGTGAAACAGATTTTCATTCTTGGGTGATATAAGATTTTGGTAAATTAACAATTCGGAGCATCTCAGAAATTCAATTCTGGTCATGGGGATGTTACGTTTCAGTAGAAATATTTCATCACTCATCCAAGTGACTTTCTCAGTCTCCCCTTGGATGAGTGATGCAATGTTTTTCCAACTGAAATGTTACATCCCCATGACCAGAATCAACTCACTGGGATGTCCCTACCTGCATGACTGAACATGCATCAAGACTATTCAGGGCCACCTTTGTTGTATTTTTTATATTCTTTCTGAATATATATCTATCTGATACAGATATATCCAGATATTTTCAGTGGGTGATCAGAGGTGGACTGTTTTACTACACACCCATGGTATTACACACACACACACACAAATGTATATATGAGGTACATATATACATTTAGGGGAACAGAAAAGTAACATTTATGAATCAACAACAGTCTTATTCTGATCATCCAGACAGATTCACTGTACGATATCAGGTCCTGAGTAGATTGATGATTTGATATATATATATATATATATATAAT